TTTTTTTTCTTTTTCCTTTTTCACGTTTCTCGCGATCAGCGCACGAGTTGTTTTGATTCTCGAGTCGTGTTTGTCATTGCCGTGGATAAAGCGACAAAGCGACAAAGCGACAAAAATACCACCACCACCAATGTTTGCCTGACTGACCGCCAGATGGAAGGGTCTCTGGGAAAGACTCGATCGCATCACCATCTGGACGGATCATGTACGCTGTGTGTTGTTGTTATACCTCAACCACCAGTTGTTTCTCCCCAGCCTAAACACGTTTGAAACCTCCTGGGATGCTCAATCCTCAAGGTGCCACAAAAGTAAACGCTCTACCCACTTCCCTTCCATCCCCCCCCTTCCCCACCGTTATCACTAAAAGGATGTACTTACTTACATACATGTGAGTACATTACCTCCACCCCATCCTGACTTACAGCGGGCGGATATGTATGTCTCTTATCCCCCCTTCCCACCCCTCCCCCATGCTGCACATCACCCAACCTCCAAATGTGGATGTCAAACATTAGGAGCGGTGAAACCTTGAGGTCTATTGATTTGATCGACAAACAGCATAGGGGGAAAGGGGAGAGGGTGCCGGTGACAAGACGAGGCGAGGCGTCTTTTTGTTTGAGCTGCAGTAAAGTAGTCAAAGCGAGCGCGACGGCCTTGAAGCTTGAAGCCTTGAAGCTTGAAGGAACAGCTGGACAGCCTTCACACACCGACAAATAGACCGCAAGATCCCGTTGCGATGCAAGACAACCCAAACTGCCAAACCACCAAGCCTGGCCATCCGATCCCCTGATTGAGGTTATCGCGGGTTCCGAGATGTAAAAAGTTGGTACATACGTTGTCGAGGAGTCAGTGTGGTGATGATGATGCTACTGCTGCTGCTGATAATGAAAAGAATGCTATTGGGACTGCTGATGGGGTCGGAGTGAGACCACCATCAATTCTACTACGGGTCCATTGGGTAGGAATTATGGATCAACTACTCCCTCGGTTCTCTTTCCCCCTCCTCCCCCTGAGCTCTGAAACATGGGCTGAAATGTAGAGGGGGCCTATCGATTGCCAGTCCTGAAGACCTGACGATGTTTCTGATCGCAATGCAATGCCATGCCATGCCGTCAGCTGTGCTATACCATTATTGTTGGTCGGTACTCCTGCCTGTTCGCTGGACTCGTGTTGTGTGAATTGTCAGCTTTATTTTGGGGGTGGCGGAGAAAATAAGTCCATGAGAGGGGGGGAACTGTGTTGATCGGAAAGATGTACGGAGTAGTGAAGTACCGGTTAAGAGCAGATAAAATATATAAAAATAATAGAAATAAAAATAAATACCTATACGGCAAAAATCACGACCCATGAGTACATCCGGAAAGCCCCATCGGTAATCTTAAAAGTTGCACCCTTGACTCATCAGTATTCTTTGACAGTTGACTTTCTTCCATTTCCACCCCCACGGCCTGGAATCCGATCCGATCTTCCCCGGGCCCGTCAACTTTTGCTGTGGAAAGAAAAACAAAAAGCTTTAGTATATAAATAAATCCGTCCCCCGAAAAAAGAGTGCCCACGGTCTGAAAAATGAAATGCGAAAAGGAAAAAGTGATAGATCCCACGCCTCAATTGACCAGAGTCGGCTGTCAGATTGATCGAGTCCACCTGCAAACGATTCATCGCGAAGACACACCCTTTCACCTTGTTCATTTTTATTTATCCAATGTACTTTTGTTGCTCTTCCCAAGAGGGAAATCGATGTCTACTGGACCAGTTACTATATCAGGATCCGTCTGTTTGGAGACTTGATCAACATCAACATCGACGTCAACATCAACAACACGACGCGTGAAGATCGTGACTTTGGTACTTCTGGGACTATTTCTAGGACTACTCTTCTTCTTCTTTCTTCTGCTACTTCTCCTCCCTGTCGACCTCCGCCTGATCGCCGCGCTTGACTTGCAGCTGGCGGAAAATTCCAAACTGGTCGCTGGACTCATTTGTTTGGTGCGATCTGATCCCGTGGGGCCCTTTTTTCCCTGAATATTTCTTCTTTCGGTCATTTCTTTTTGACCCCCCTCTTCTTTTTCTGATTTTCCCTTTTTGATTTTATTTTATTTTATTTTTTCTTTTAATCTAAAAATTAAAAGACAATAAAATAAATTAAAATCAAAGGAATAAAAAAAAAGAAAGATCCATCGCTGCCAACCCCCCTCCCTCCCCGCCTTATCTGTTGGGAGATGCAAGGGAGTCCAGACCCAAAGACGCCTCTTACCCCCGATCGATCTGGCCCTGCTTCTTTCTTCTTATACAAGTACTTTGGCTTCTTTTTGCTCATCTGCATACACCTTCACCTCTAACTCTACTCTCCGCCATTTGCTCCCAACCTGACGGAGGTGATCGTTGATCCCCCCTCCCCCCAAGCTTTATTTACTTCCCCAGCTCCTCCTCCACAAGGTCGATCATCTTCTCATTCTCCACACAATCTATATCTACTCCCCTCATCTCCCTCCTTCCTCTTCGCCACTCTCCACTCTCCACTCTATCAACATAACAACAAACACAAACAACAACACGCTCTGAATATTTCTCTGCGACCGAGAGCGTCACCTTACCTATCCGATCCTCCATTCGCAGTTCAGTACTCAACACACAGCCATGTATCCCCTACTTCCTTGGAGTCAAAACCAGTCGAGTGTGCGCTCCTCCTTAAGTGAGGCCACGACCAGCACCCAGACGGTTTCCTTCAGCTTCAGCTATGGCAGCTCCTGCTCGCCTAGCTCGTTGCCGCCTCCACCGCCTCCGTCTCCCAGCGACTCTCTGCTCGACATCACTCCCCGCAAGTGCTCATTCTCCAGCAGCTATGGAATGAACAACTCGTGTGCTTTCCCCTCCTGGCCAAACCGACCATCGCTACTCAGTGCCGATTCCGAGGGTTCGACCGCCAGTGCCTACCTGTCAGATGAGGATCTCTTTCCCAGCGGTTCCGATGTGCCTTCCGACAGCGCCATCGATGAGGAGTCCGCAGCACAGGATCCCGCCATGGACCTGACGACCGAGCAGCAGATTCAGATGCTCCGCGCTGCAGCCGATGAGGAAGCCCAGCGCGCGCGTTTCCTGGCCCAAGTACAAGCACATGCCAGAGCCCAGCAGGCGATGCGTGTAGCCCAAATGGCAGCCACCGAGCGCGAGAACGCCAAACGCAACAAGAAACGCAAGGCCCTTCCCGAGCGGAAAAGACGCACTACCTCTGGGACCAAGGCAACTATTTGCCGGGTCTAGAGACCGGAAGAGGGTGCCCGCCGGGTTTTTCTCTGTAACATCAATCTCATATCTCAGCGTTCTTGTGCATGTTTCACTCTCGATACCCCCTCTCACGGTCTGTTTTGGCGGAGATTAGGGCTGTCGCATGATCGGCGCCGATCTATCCGCAGTTATTGGGCTCTATCATATGCGATCAGCGATTCGCATCCGGGTCTTTTTCTTTTTCTTCTTCGACACCCTCTTGATTCTTTTTTTCTCAACTTTCTTTTTCTTCGCCTTCTCTGGATCTGGATTTCGGCCAGATGATCAGGCTCTTTTCTCTCCCTTCCGACCAGTCAGGCTGGATTCTCCGACAGAAATTCAGGCGTGTGAGCATCACAAGGCGCGCTGCATCCGATTATTCTCGAACGGGGATTTCCCATCCTCCGGGAACAAGGCGAAGATGACGATGACGACAGTGAGAGCCGCACGTGCGCGAGCCTGGGGTTACGCGCCGTAGCCGGCGGGCGGAATTGACAGCCTGGAGCCCGGAGTTTCCAACCACGCAGTCTGATTTGGTGCCCGAGCGCTGGCTGCCTGATTATCTAATTTCCCCTTCGCTGTCGGCGCATTTGATTGAATTCGAAAATCAAAGCAACCGCAACCCCTCCTTTCGCCTTTCGTTACTTCTTTTATCGCCCGTACTCCCCCGAAGGCTCGCACACCACCCCCTGCACGCCGGACAGGGCTTTGCACTGCTGGCTGAGCCTATCAATCCGCACGATCTCACCGCCATTGTCAGGACACGCTCTGATCGCATTACCTACCTTGCCTTGATCAAGTGAAGTGACTCATTCATTGAGAACTGACTGGCATGCGCTTTGATACTCTTTACTCGGACTTGCGGGCTTCAGTCCCCGACGACTATGCGATGAGGCGAGATAACGATCGATACCGCGCATTCCTCGATTTTATTCTAATCTCCCTATCTACAAGATTTACCTGACCACACACCACCACCACCACCACCACCACCTTCTCAACTGTTTCATTTTCTATGCGTTGTCGCGACGGTGTTGGCGGTGTCTCGCTCTTACCTCATCATCTTTTTCTTTTTCTATCTCCTTATGTTTTCCCGGTTATACCCATGGGGTTTTTCTAATGTTCCAAGTTTACTATTTTCGGGATAAGGAGCGCTACTTCCTCACTATCAGCTGGATTACCTGATTTATTGTTTTTATTTCGTTTTTTATCATCTGCCTACAAGCGTCTTTCTCTTCAAGCGTCCGTCGGATGATTAGATACCCCGTCATGTATGTATGCCTCTTTTTTACTTTTACTTTTTCTTTTTCTTTTTCTTTTTTTCGTTTTCTATTTTCGAGCCCCATACCCCCGAGCGTGTTACACAGAACAGCTCCAGCGTTACTTTGCTTGAAATTGCATAGCTCGGCGAACCATACCCTAGCGATTAATGATGCTTCTTTTTGTTTTGTTCTCTTTGCTTTGCTTTGCTTTGCTTTGCTTTGCTTTGCTTTGCTTTGCTGGATAAGATATGATAGGATAGGCAATTAGGATAGCAGACCCAGGTTGCAACTGGATAAGAAATGAAGAACTACATCATATTCGATACTTTCGTTCCTTGAATACTACTGGTAGAGATTAGATTCAAAGTAAGAAAACGAGTGATCCCACCCAGCCTCATTTTCTTCCTATAGTCGAAAAGGTTGGAGGAGCCTATCTTCGTACGCAGGCGGCGCTCGCTATCCCGCTGCTGGTTATCGAGGTATCTCGGGCGATAGCTGTGTCATTACCGAGATGTAGAATGCAGAATCGTATACCGTATCGGGGTGAGATGGAGATGTAGACGAGTAGTAGTGACTAACATTCTCCGACAACCTGAACTGATTCTACGCGCCTCCAAATCTGTGTCCAAGCTATCCCCGGCCCCCTCTCTCCCTCTATCACCGTAACAATGGCAATGACGATGAAAGAACAATAATCTAATACAAAGTGCTCTCTCGAAGGGAGTAAGGACCCGTCTAGAACCCGCGTCCCAACAACACCTCCCCGACCTCGCGCATCAACGCCTCCTCGCCCCGGAGCTCGACGATCCGCCCTTTCGCCGCAATCATCTCCCGCACCCCCATCGCCTTGCAGAGATCGACGACCTCCCCGTCCTCGGGCGCCTCGTACACCAACAAACCCAACGCGAAGAGGAGCCCGTGCACCGCCTCGCGGCTCTGGGTCTCCCGGTCGAGGGCCTCGACCAGCGAGGCGACGAGCTCGACCTGCATCTCCGTGGGGAGGGGGTCGGGCCGGCCGGCGAAGCGGGCGTTGTGGTTGTGCGCGGCGAGGTTGTAGGCGAAGGAGGCGGCGACGATGCGCAGGTTCGGGTGCGGGTCGAGGAGGGAGGTGGTCGTTAGGTTGAGGAGGAGAGGGAGGATTTGCGGGTCATTGTTTGGAGAGGACAACGACAAGAAGTGGTCGGGGTAGAGGGGGCTGGTGAAGAGGTTGCAGGCGAGTTGGCAGAGGGTGATGCGGAGGGGGTATGGGGTTGTAGCGGCGGAAGTGTTGGCCGAAGACAGCAGCGTGCGCAGGAGCTCGTGGTGCGGGTCTTCGGCGGCGAACCAGCCGGATACCCTGGGGTCGAGGAAGAGGAGTCGGACGAGGTCGACGAGGGCGAATTGGTTCTCCGGGGTGAGGGTGCCTAACGTGGTTTGGAGGTAGGGGCCGAAGGTTGGCAGGGATGTTGGTAGGGCGACGTCGGCGGCACCAGCAGAGTCAGGGCTGGTGGCGATGAAGCGACGTTGGATGAAGTCGAGGATGGAGGTCAGCGTGGAGTCGTCGGTGTGGGGGTGGAGCTTCTGTCGGAGCTTATCGAGTGGAGGGATCTTCTTGTAGGTGACGTAGTTGAGGAGCTGACGCTGGAAGCTGGGGAGATGGAGCTGGCGGTGACGGTGCGTCGGGGTGGCCATCTCCAGCAGCAGGCGCACGTTGCCGCGCAGCTGCGCCGGGTTGGCGCCGGACCACTCGTCGACCTTCTGGCCCTTGAGGAAGGTCATGAAGGTGGGCGTGGCGCGTACGCGGTATTTCGTGCTGACGTCCATCGCCGTGCTGATGTCGACTTTGATGAGGATGGCGCGGTCCCCGGCCTCCTCGGCCAATTCGTTGTACGTGGGATAGACCATCCTGCAGGGCGGACAGGTGGCGGAGGTAAAGAAGATGACAGCGCATGATTGGGAGGCGGCGGTGAGGTGCTGCTCCAGCTGGGCCAGGCTGCTTGCCATTCGGACCACGCCCTGGGCAATCGGCGGCGAGGAGGGTTCTTGGGCCGGGGTCGCTGCTGCTGCTGCTGGTCTGGAGGCGGGCGGCGCTTGAGCACCGTCTGTGCCAGTGCCTTGAGTGACACCACGCAGGGCCATCTCAATCTGTGGCTTCATCATCTGCCCAAAGGGAGTGCTCAGGAAGGTCTGCGGGAGGTTTTGGATGTGTTCCGGGATGCCCTTCCCGAGCAGAAACATGGCCAGGTCTTGGGTGAAATTGTTGCAGTTATGCAGGAAGAGATCGTAGGACTGAAAAGGGTGTTAGCTGTTGATCTGTGGGTAATGCAAGAAGCATGACACGCACGCACGCACCTCGGGCGTATAGATTTCTGCCATGGACTGAATGTATTCTTCGATCACATCCAGGGGGAGCTCCGTTTGGCCCAGATGCAGCTTCTCCATCGGCTGTCCATGGTGTGTGCTACCGGGGACAGCCGTCTGGATGCCTTGGCCGTAGTAGTACTCGACCCGATTGAGAACCAGCGAGGTGTGGTAAATGGCATCGATTTGGGTGCCAGTCAAGGGCATGGAATACTGGAGGGGGGGGATGCTTGCATTAGACACGATGCACGTGCTGCTGAGCGACATGACTTACCAATCGCGCAAGACCCTGTGGGAGAATGTGTCAGTAATTTGGACAGCACCAAGACTCAGAATCAATAAAACCACCTTGGAAAGGTCATAGACGTACAGCTCAACATCCATGATGAGTGGACTGGTTGACAGGACTCTGTGAATGGTGCTGAGGTTGTTCAATCTGCTCTTTTAAGGCGTGTAGATCGGAGCAGGCATCCTTGCGGTTACGTCAGCCGCAGGCAGTCACGAGATGGAAGGTTAAAGATTGTTGAAGACGGTGGAATATAAACGATTAAATCCGGATAAAGATCCTCAGGTCGAGACTTACAGCGTAGTCAGATGTACTAAGTAACTTGCTTAGTATGTATGTATCATGTGTCCATAAGAGACTCGGGAGAAGTGAAGAAAGACCGAAACCTGCCCTCCAACTCCTCCACCAATCAACGGCTCCCCCGCGCCCATGGCATTTCTTTGACATCATCTCCTCATCTCCTCATCTTCTCCAACTCCGATTCTACTGTAGATTCCACTTTGCGCCCACGCATTCTTTTCTCCCACCTCACATCCTCACAACATGGTAAAGCATTCCCCCTAATCCAAACTCAACTTCCGAACCAAGTTCCTAACCTATGAACACCCTCACCAGCCTCCCAAAGCCCGCAAACGCGGCCCCCCACCGACCACCGCAACCTCCTCCACCCCCGCCCCGAAACGCGCGCGACAATCCAAACTCGCCAAGGAGAACGACATCACCGCCGCCGAAGAAAGCGAGATCAAAGAAGTGTTTCACTTATTTGTTGTTGACGACGAGATCGATGAGTTCCCCAACGAGAAGGAAGGCGTGATCCCGGTGGAAGATGTGAAGAAAGCTCTTTCGTACGTACAGCGCATACAGTCCACATACCTCCAGACCGCCCCTCTCACCCCCTCCTAAACTAACCACCCAGAGCAAAAGAGCATTAGGTCTCCCCCCCACCCCCACCGAACTCCCCCCCATCCTCTCCGCCCTCGACCCCACGGACACCGGCTACGTCCCCTACGAACCGTTTCTGACCGTCGCCGCCGCCAAGCTCCGATCCCGCTCCGACGAGGCCATGGCCGCCGAGGTCGATGCGGCGTTTCGGCTCTTCACGCGCGGGGGTAGCGGGCGTAGCGGGAGCGGTGGAGGTGCAGGATCTGGTAGCATCATCACCCTGCACCATCTGCGGCGGATCGCCCGCGAACTCAAGGAGGAGGGGAACTTGGATGATCAGTTGCTGAGGGATATGATCCTCGAGGCGAATGGGGGCGCCGGGGTGGCGGCGGGTGTGACTTTGGGTCAGTTTCGGGAGGTGATGCAGCGGGCGGGGGTTTTTTGAAGCTCTCCATGGTGAGAGGGGAAGGGGATTTGTGGTGATGGATGAATGGATGGAGGGAGGGAGGGCCATAACGGGATGGTGTGGGTCTTGGTGGCTGGTTTTGATGGGTCATGAACGTGAAAGGCGATGATGATGAAGTTTATGTGGCGTTTATTTTGGGTAAAGGGCGCGAGGCAGATGTCAATACTTCGGAGTACATTGTTTATAGCGGGCGTTGAGGGTTCAAAATGGGTAGGTAGGTACAGTACTGTACAGTATATTGTCGGCGTCGCGTGCGTTGGTGGTTGTGACGACATTGTACAGAGTTATTGGATAATTGATTAACAGCGGTGCAAGATGGATGTCATGCGAACATATCACTAGATCTGGCATGCTTAGTCCCTTGTCAAGCAAGGGTTGAGTGTAATAATGTTTGAGCCCCCTAATCTCCTACCGGCCTCCTCCTAAAATACAGACATTGATGTACAGATCATACAGCTGAAGCACACACCACTAAGAGAGAAAGGAGAAAGGACAGTTTTTCAAATGAAAGAGCAAATCAAACGCCGTGGCAATGAGTTGTGCACATGGGGGGTATCACATAACGCTGATATACATTGTTTCGGGTGTCAGGCAGGATGGATCCATTAATCCACCTCCAACCCCAGCGGAGATTTCTCGCCAAGAGGTTCGACCGGCAGCGAAGCCGTGACGCTCGTTGCTTGCGACGTGTCCGAGACAGAGTCCCCCGTGGTTGATGTAGCGGACATGCTGTCAGACGGGGGCCGGCTGAATATGGACGGCGGCGAGATGTCGCCTTCTTGCGAGGCCAGTTCGTCCGTGTCCGCGCTCCCAGTCGAGCTCGGTTCCACTGCCTCGTAGAATAGCATAAAGGCACCGCCTTGGGACATGACGCTCGCTTCGCTGACCATCTGCACGTCCTCGTCGCTGAGTCGGTACCATCGCTCGGGTTTCTCCTTGTCGCCGTCCGCTTCGAGAACAGCTTCCGGTACGTGCGCCGGGAAAACCTCCGTCGGGTACTTGCGGTAGCAGATGTAATGACCATTCTCGTGGCGACCATAATGCGTGACGACAGCTCGCAGCTCGTAAAGTCGGCTTGAGGAATCGTCACCGCGACCCCGCGACAGCATCGAGATTCTAGGGTCAGTTCCCCATTGCTCTATGTCCTTGTGGGCTGGATCTTGGGTTAGCCCTCCTAGGCACCATTCGTTCAGGTCCATGGTTGTGGGGAACTTGACGGCAGCATAATTCTTTCGCAGCATCCCTGTCATTTCATCAAACATGCTGCGGTTGATGTGAACAGCCAGGCACTTAGGGGGTCGGGCAATCACGGCCTGGCGTGACTTGGTAGTCGATACCCGGTTCTTCGAAGGGATATGGCATTTTTCTGACAACGTCTTCTCCGCAAAATCTTCTTCCTCGAGGGCCTCGTCCACGGCTTGCAGACGCTCCCGGGCCGACTTCCTGAGAGCATCCGAAACCGTCTGGGACTCAGAACTCGTCGACGGGGTATCCTTTTCCTCCTCAATCTGAGACAGCAGATTCAAGAGTTGACTCCGTGTGCGCAGCAAGGTACATTTGGCACACTCCACCCCCTCGATTGGCTCCAAATGCATATACTGATGAAGACACTCCCGGATGTCGTACTCGAAGTTGGGCCCAAGAGGCACCGTCAAGCAGTTAAACGGGATCAAAGACAGGCCCTCGGTCCACCCACATTGTATACAGCCGACTCGCTGCGCGAGAAGGCCCTCCAACGGGTTTTCCACGAGCTGGGGTTCCGCGACCGACCGCAGATCTACAGCACGATCCGCCTGCATCGACCCTCGATCCCCAGTGCCGATGACATGTTCCTGCGGCCCAGCCATTTTCAGGCCGAGGTTGCGCGTCTGCCGCCGCGTCGCTTGCCGCACCTCGAGGTCCAACTGATCCACCACCTTCGCAAAGTATTCCTGTGCATCCTGCTGCTGCCAGCTGCTCATCGACTTCAGATCCGGCGGCGTCCAGAGTCGCTGTCCGTAGCTTTCCGCACTGTTCAGCCGCTCGATGATCTCCTTGAGGGCATGGTGGGTGGAAAACGAGGACCGCTGGCCCAGTCGCTCGAGATTCCTGTCCAGAAACTCCTCCAGCGAGTGGAGGGATGCCAATCCCTGGATGATGCTGTTCTGGTAGCACGAGTTGTCCCAGTTGCCCAGACCGGGTGGAAAGTTGTCCCTGCCGCTCAGGAGCGACGTGCTGAAGCCCGAGAAGGTCGACGCGCGAGGCAGGAGGGCGGAGAGGAATCCATTATCGAGGCCGAAAATCCGTCTCATCGCTTCGCTCTTCGCTTCGAAGCTCATCGACGTCGACGAGGAGGAGTCCACTGGGTCAAGTCCCGTGGAGTCGAGAGCGGCGACCAGTCGCGACGGGGTCAAGCGGACGGTCAAATTCCACGCGAAATGGGCTAGCGAGAAGGGAAGAAAGCCAAAATAGTTGAGGATAAAGTATACAGATATGATGGTCACCAGTACGCCGGCTGTGAAATTGGAGTGGCCGTGCAAATGCTGGAAAGTGGTATCATAGTTGCTGTAATGCACGCTGCTGAAGGGTCTCTGAGTGGAGAAGTCAATCCCCTCTCTGCGAGCGTTCATGGCTGATGAGAGAAAGTCAAAAGCTGCGGCATGGGGACCGAGCTATAAGCATATCGATGTAAGCAGTAAAGGTAACTGGAGCCAAGGGTAAAGACAGGTAGGATGGTCTGATGCGTGATGCGAAGACAAAAAGACAGTCAGCCAGTGCGTGCAGAATGGATGGCGGCCGAACAAGCCGCGCCGCAAGGCCGATTGCGCGTTGGGTCACTACCGCCACCCGGAAAAGGTTTTATCGATAGGCAAGAAAGGAAAGAAAGTCTCCGTCCGTCTCCACAACAATTTATTCCCATCGCTCGGGCTCACTCGGTATTCTCTGCTGTGTGTGTGCACCATGGCGAAGTCGAGACGTAAGTGTATTACTTGTTGCGCTTCAAGGGCTTTGAAAAAGCTATGGTTCATTTTTAACGTTATCGCATTACTACAGCCCAGTCCAAACATTCCCGTGCTGCCCGCCGGGCAGCTTCTCCCAGTCTCGATCTCGATAAATCGTTGACCACCCTCCCTCGGGCGGAAGAAACCACAGTGCAACGTGAATCCATTCTGGCCGATCGAGCAAATGCTGGCGTCTCTAAGAAGAAGTCCAAGTCGAAGCCTTTGACTAAAGCGCAGCGCGCAAGGCAGCAGAAAGGAATGGAGAGAGCAGAAGCGGTCATGGATCAGCTCGAGAGCAAAGTCAACCGAAGTGTCAACCGCGCTAAAGTTGTCAAAGCTCGTAGGGTATGTGCTCAACATATTGTTCATGACTCCTTGCGCACGATCTCTGACATGCAATAAATCTAGGGCGAATGGGAGGATCTGAACCGCAAGGCGTCGAAGACCATGTTCCAAACTCTTGCCGATGAGGCCGACGACCTCGACGACATGATGGATGACTCGGCCCCTGCTAAGAAAAGCAAGCCTGCAAAGCAAGCGAGCTTTGGCGTTCAGAACCCGGTCGCCGATCAACATGCTGACAACGATGAGGATGACGAGATCACTTGAACCAGTTTCGTAGGAGAAAGTTTTGGGGTTGCACCAAATCTTTATTTCCTGGGCCTCAGCTGGTTGATCATCCGGTCGATCTCGGCGGCGGCTGGTCCGGACGCCCGGGTCTGCAGGAGCTCGAGGGCATTCAGATTTTTTGCCCGGAAGGCTTCCTCGCCTGCTTTGGCAATCATCCCACACTTCACCCACATTTCCACTTTTTCGTCTGCGGGCAGGTTGGTGCATTTGGGGACAAATACTGAGGCGAGCTTCGTGTTCCCTGCTCCCAGGATTTCATTGTAAAAAGGCTATTATGAGTATTGTGAGTATATGCATGCTTCAAGAACGCAGAGTCCTGGATTCGTCTTACCTCCCACCCTATGGGGGATTTCTTGATTTTACCGATATCTTCCAATTCGCCCCAGTCTCGCTTAGCGACTAGAGCTCTCAATCTCAACCACCAGAATGTTTTCTCTGGCATCTTAAATTCACTCTGGAGCTTCTGTGCTCTTTTGCCGTAACCTGATCGGATCAACCTAAATATCGTTTCGTTCAAGCTTAAGCCTAGAAACTCGGTCCTGTCAGCAAGATCCTTGTCCAACGCTTCCTGCACTTTCAAAAGCTGTGAGGCTTCGGAGAGTAGTTTCTGCTGCAGGACCACCGAAGGATCTTTCGAGTCTGACAACAGACGGGTTGCCAGGTGAAGCCTTTCCGTCTTCCGCGGCAAGTCCGTCTCGTTCAAAGCCTCCGAAAGAAGTACGTTCGAGCCATCAATCGGGCGATCATCTTGGTAGAACAGGTCTTTAAGCAACTCTGTGTCCTGTGAGCGGGCATTTGTTTCCACTAGAGCAGATGCCATAGGACGGGTGTTGATTGTTCGAAAAAAGCTCGCCAGGGGAAGCTTTGCCTTGAGGTGTAGAAGAACATAGTTCACTAGATCGACGTCTCCACTCTCAATTGCCTTGTCCAGGGCAATCTCATCCTCTTCCATATTCAACAGTAGCGGAACCTGCTTACCGGCCCGCGGTTCGTGGTTCAGTAATTGTGTTGCGAGCTGCACGCGCCCTTCGTCGTAAGCCGTCTGAGCAATCAACTCAAACGATATGCCTGGCTTTCCATCTAACCTCTGAACAATAAGCTTACATACGGCTTCGTCATCTCCCGTGGCGACTTTGACTTTCTGGCTTGCCCAATGAACGTAAATCTTGTCCGCGGCAAGTTCGAGGTATTCGGAAATTCGGATTGCCAAAAGGTACTCATGTCTGTTCACTAAACGTTCAATGAGTCGCTCAGGCGTGAGGCGCATGTACTGCTCGTAAGAGATAGGCAATCCGATCTGATAGTCTCTCACTGCTTTCAAGACTCGCAGTTTCTCCGTCATTTCCACGAATTCGTCGCTGTTGTATAAGTCAAGCACCGATTTTCCGAAAGAGGCTGCCTTCAATAGACGCTTTTGCCAGTGTGTATCGAATTCCTGGCCCGCCGCTTTGACGCAGGTGTCAACTGCCTCGGGCAAACTCGGGCGAATGCGTTGGATGTTTTCATCGGCTTTTGGAGACTTTTTCTCTAGCAAGTCTACAGAATCCAAGAGCACTGATGCCGGGGAAGTAGAACCAAGCCGGAAGATGGCTTCCGTCACATCTGACCCAGGGTCTCAGTGGCTATCACCGCGAGGGTATGGAAATACATACCAGTAACTTTATGCAAGAATTCGCATGTATCGTTGGTGATGAGTCGTACACCATCAAATTCCGGTATAACATGAACTGTCCCATCATAATAATACCTGTACTGATTGGCATCACCGGAGGAAATACAGGAAAAGGTGACTTATGACGTACCTAGCAGCAACTCCATTCGGTCCGATGAGATGCACCTCGTCCTCCCATGCGATAACAACAGCGTCATCTCCACACCAATCGACAGTTCTGGGTGTCACTCGGGACTCCGGGTCATATTCACTGTACTTGCTTTGGAAGTCGCTACTCACCACCCAGACTTTACCTTCCGCTGTGATAAGTGCGACGAATCGCCCGGTTGGTGAGACGCTCGCATGCTTGAACGGGCCATTCTGGAGGACTTTGTCCTCCGCCTCTGTGGGGTCGACCAAGTATACGGTCTTGTCAACAGCCAACAGAACTTCGACTGAGCGGGAGAGCGTGTACGCCGGGGGTATCAAGGACCAGGACGATACCTCTCCTTCTGGACAAGGGGCCAAGAGCCGGGGACGAGGCTCGTCGTAATTTGACACGGCCACGAGCTGATTGTTCGAAAGCAAAGCCACAAATCCGGATGTCCAGAAACGGCAACCCCTTACACCGTATTCCTCAGCCCCCTGAACCGAGGTCAGGGTTGAACACAGCTCAGACCATCGACGCTGGGGAGACTCACATTGCCGAGAGAAAAGGAAGTAAAATCGCCATGGAGCCCAAAGTAACGTCGGACAGTACCATCTTCAGTAATGACCAAAAGCTCCTCTCTATCAGACCATCCGAGGCCCCGGATCGTGCCAAATTCCCACTGTGGGAAGAATTAGGGAAGTCCAGCCCCTGGTCAAGAGAAGGGAGGGATGCTTACATTCAGACGGTTGATTAGCTTTCCGGAGCACGAATAGATGTCAATACTCGACTTGGTGGTTTGAGCATCACGGAACCGATATGGCTTGCTTTCATCGCGATGCAGTGCTGTTGAGGGTCAATGTATGATAAGTATGGAGTCGTGGTTTACGGCAGCAAGACATGTCCTTACCGATAGCTCCTCCATATGGAGCGCCAGCGATGATGTAGTTCTCCAATTCGATGTCTTCATCGAAGATGGCATCATAGATGGGAACCTTGCGATAGAAACTATCACCCAGTCTCTCCCAATTGGCCAAAGGATTAGATGGTGCCATTGACAGCGTGGTCAAGAGACTGAGGACAGCCCGAGAGAGTGATAACAATGAACAATGCAATGAATGATGTTCGTCGGGGGTCCTTCCGGAAAGCAGCCGCAGTCGGGCGGGCAAAGCTGCTAACCCGATTGGGTTATGCAACTAAGTGACCGACAACTGGTCAAGTTGGATCCATCGATGCATCCCAGGCTGCCTCAGGCTTTGAATACACTTCTCCCTCCCCTAAACCATTAAGATGCTGCAGCCCATGATGCCTGCGCATGCAAAGTACGATGGATCATAACGTGGAGATCCGCAATCTAGCATTGGAGTTATCCGACCTGGAGGTCGCTCTGTTTCTATGTCTTGCAGTCCACGAGCATTGTCGAGTCGAGACGGCCGACACCAATGTTCATGACGTTGCTAAAGAGCTCGCCCTGGTGAATGTCAAACTACTCTCCATTCTCAATCCCTTTGGCTAATGTGTAAGGCACCAGATCTGCTCCAACACTTTCAGACTGACTCAGGTTACCGTCGATTGTTCCTGCGCGACCACGTTTGACACATTCCTCTCAGAAATATCTACACCGCAGAGCGGGAATGGTCGGACAAAACCGTCAAGGTCTCCTGGACAAACGTTCCAGATCCCCAATGTCATCATAGCGAAGAACTTCAACCACGTCGGAGACGAGATTCAACGCTCAGTGCTCGAGGTCAGCCAGAACCAATCGCTACTTACCACAAATTGTTCTCTACCTAACGTTCAATTCCATTAGTTGATGCGCTCGAAGCGACTGTCCCTGCAGACTGGGACCTGGGAAACACCAACAGACTTCCTCTTTGTGCCATTAATAGCGCGCACGGGGGAACGAGACCAACCCTCATTGAATTCTCATTTGGTTTGGCATCCCTACCATACCGTACTTGTCTCTTTTCACTGCTAGCTAATACGTACCCAGAATGACCACCTCTTCATCTCCCACTACCAGGACCCCGAGGACGGCTACGTCTATCTCGAGGAAGACACCGACTGGCTCTCGGAGGGACAAGTATCTGCATCCTCGGTGATCCGCAAATCCGAAGCCCAACAGGAAAAAGGTCATCCACACATAGATCGTGAGGTATGTTCATTCCCCCTTCCCCCAACCGGGAACTCAGTTGACGCGAACTCCGCAGCTATTGGACAAAGCCCAGCGATCCAGCGAAACTGTCACCGTAGGGGCAGACATCACCCGCTACCAGCAAGATATTGTCGTCTTTCTGCGGCTCAGTCGCGCAGTGGCCGGTGGCATCTCCACGCGTTCGAACCTGCATTTCAAGGCGTTCTCCAGGTTAGTGCTTCTCCCCGTTGCCTGTTATGATAGCACGAGGAAGGATATCCCGATCTTACTGTCATCGCGGCAGGTTACTTGCCGTCTTGCATGGCCTGGACTTCGTCACCCCCTCGATTGTAGCGTTAGCGGCGAAAAAGGTCTTCCGTCATCGCATCGTTGTGGCCAGGCCCGCGGACGACCGAAGCTTGCAGTATGGGAGTGGCCTGGGGGCCGTGGCCAAGGTGCTGGAGTATGCGAACCCTGATACGATCTTGGAAGGAGTACTTACGTTAGAGGCGCCATTGTGATTCTCCCAAGCGGTGTCCTCTCCCGGAGCGTTCGATAGGAGTCATGAAGCTGGATCGATATTCTCCACTGTTAGGCTAGAGCTCTTCCATCACGGACCCAAGTGTCGATGCCCGCCTCTAACCTGTCTGTTCCGATTTTTCTGCTCTTCCGCTGTTCCTTGCTTGTGGCTGAAATTGAGTGCCTCCTTTTGATGACTATGTCTCGCAGATGATCATGATCTCAGCACGGCCTACCCAAGCATTGTAGCGGCATGTTATCTCTATGCTTGTCGCTGATCCCTTGTTCTTCGAATTAGGCTGGGCGTTGACTTTCTCTCCGCTTTTGAATATCATATTCAGTTTCATATAACATAACTTCATAAATGTACACATATTTTATGTACTGTACGTGGCTCCAAATGGCTTATGTGCGTCACTCGTCGCCAGAACCCAACAGAATCATAAAAAAAGAAATCCTGTACTACCCACAACTCCCAACGAGAGAGAAGTTTCTGCCAGCAAGCCCCCGCTCAATCCTATCCTCCTCCTCCTCCTCCTCCTCCTCCTCCTCCTCCTCCTCCTCCTGCTCCTCCTCCTCCTCCTCCTCCACCCGGCCCGATACACCCACTCAAACCCAACCCTCAAGCACATTATAAGTCCGGAGTGCTCTATCCTGCAGCACTCATCACCGCATCTCTCCTTAAGAACATTTCAGGCAGGACAAACCCGGTGATCCCAGCATCGCCGCCAGCCGGGGGGTCAGCTCCGACGACATTGTTCGATCCCTCGACGTCAAGAAAAGCCATCGTCTTGCGCCATTCGTCCAAGACGACGTCGACCTCGGTCTTGGCGTCTCCAACGATGGCGTCCATCTTAATGTCGTTGCGATCATACCCGAACGGATCCTCGAGCTGCGAGCCGATGCCTTCGATGCCGTACAGCGTGAAGATCACCAGGCTGACCATCGGGATGGTCCACCAGCCCATGTCGTCAACCATGCCGAAGGGGAGAACGCAGCCGAACAGGGCGAGGACCTGTTTCTGATGGATTCTGGATGTGCAAGAAGACCATGAATCAGTGGAGGCAGTGAAAACAAGAGGTGTTCTTGATTGGAGACAAGCGGCATGGAAATACCATCCGGAAGAAGTTTTAAGGTAGAACTCACAGGTGTGCAACGGGGATAGGCGTGAGCTTGATCGTCTCCATTCGGCCATAGGCGTCGGTCAGTGTGTTCAGCTGCGCCTGCATCTGACTTGCCCCGGGGGCATGGAACCAGCCGCGCTCGACCCCACGCTTGATGAACTGATCGACGAAAAAAGTCAGCTGATAGGGGAGCCCCAGCCCCCCGTCCTCATGGCCCTCCAGTCCCGCGGGCAGGAGGCTGGCATAGTCCGGATTGAAATCCGTGTCCCCATTCTCCGCGACGTCATTGCCCAAAGCCCAGGCGGCGCCCCACTCGGCGCGGAGATGGTTCTTGACGGCAAACGGGATGGCCATCAGGATGCGGATCGTCCGCTCGATGTCCTGCTTCTCTGCCGTCGTTGGGGCGCCCCGGGGGCTGTACCCATTCGTGATGATGGTCCGCACCAGGTTCCGGACACAGGTGTTGATGGTATTCATGCCATTGCGCCCATCCCAGAATCGGTTGTAGGATGTCTGGTTGCGGAAGACTAACATGAGGCCGACGACAATGGACAGAGATGGGATCTGTCGTTTGTTTTCGTTGGTATCGTAGCGATGATCTGCGGCCCGCTTTGATTGCAGGACAAGAACAATGAAAGAGAAGGATAACTCACGATGCTACTCGGAAGGCCGACGGTGTCAAAGACATCCTTGTCTAACCATACCACGAAAGCTGTAAACAAAGCGTGCAGGAAGACTGGCACTATAATGGCTGCATGAATAGCGCCTTTGATGAACCGGAACACGAGAGGCCATCTGGAATCACGTTAATATGAGCAAAAGAAGAAGAAGATCGAACACGGGCCTTCTTGGTTTGTGCCTGGTGGACAAAAGGTGGGGATGGGTTCCATGGCGATAATGATGAGCATTATTGAGAAACATGGTATTCCGACGGCTCAAGGCCGGTGTGGACGGATTGCTGAGACCCAACCGCATATTGCCCCTGCAGTATACGAATGCACGGTGATTTACCGGAAGCTCCTTATGCTGTGGCTTTGTTTTTTTGTTTTCTGATGTCAAGGAAGGGAAGAAGAGAATGAACAAAGAGCGGTCTGCAACTAGGGAATTGTTTAGGCTGATCTGGATCTTATCAGATAACAAAAAAGCCACCCACCGCACATCAACTCCACAGTCTTTCTTCACTATCAGTCAACCTCCGCCAAAGTGGGGACAGAATAAAGGCATCAAAGCGTGCAACACTTCTTTATCCCAGACACTTAGCAGCGATGTGAATGCCGGAGTTTATCTCAATCTATTGCTCTACATGCCAAGATCGGACTGACCGATCGTCTCGCCTCGCGTGACATGCGTATAAATTGACCTCTGCAACCCCCTCTCTCGAGATGCAATCTCATCTCCACAACAGCACTTCAATAGCCGACATTTCTCCGTGGTTACTGTATAGTCACTACCAAGACTTATCAGCTACTACTACTACTACTACTATCTCTCTATCGTGTTGGAACCTCATCGTCCAAGATGTCCTCCATCTACGGCACTTACAAAGGATGGTATCTCCCGGGATTCGAATCGGACGAGTCTTTGGAGCACAAAAAGATCGAGCAGCAGATGGACGAAACGGAAACATCTGCTTCGAACGAAGAAGCCTGCGCATTCAAGTACACCGGGCAGACGGTGAACAAAGCGTTCGTTGGGAAGGTGACGCAGCTTCTGGTGGGCAATGGAATCCCCAACTTTCTCTTCGGTGACATGATGCTCCGTTTCTTTGGATGTGAGACTGACGTGCTCAGCATCAATCTCTCGATTCCGGATGAGCTCCTGGACGAGGCGGCCCGAGTCTTGCGCCAGGCAGGCTTTTATGACGGTCCCATCGAGCCCTTTGATGTCGAGGAAACCCAGTGTTTCCTAGATTCCCGATCGCACCGATTGCACGGGGAGCAGCGACCTTCCCTCGCCTGGGGGTGCCGATACTTCGACGACCACGAGTACTACCGACACTCGGGAGCTTGGTGGCTGCCTACACATGTGTTCCATCTCAGCCGCACACCCGGCCGGCTAGGTCACGTTGATCTCAACCTCTTCATGCACTCGCGCTACTTTTGGGACCTGCCGGTTCCTATCCTGGCGCCTGCCGAGGATGACCAAAACTCCTACGTTCTGTCAACCGACCGCCGCCTTCCAAGACCGGTTTGCTTCGGCCCCAGTCGCCATGCGGTCAAGATGATTTCGCCCGCTCGTCTAGTCGAAGCCCTGATTCTCCTTACCTACCGCGATCTACATCTACCGCGTCAACGCTGGCTCTGCGATTGGCACAACGATCTTTTCGTGATCTTCAAGATGGTCAGTGGATGGAAATGGCCTGAGGAGGACCCTAGCCATACTGGGTATCTCGAATTCACCAGGGCCGATACCCACGTAAGACCCATTCGCTTGGATGGCCGGCGCCTGCACAGGCGAAGCGAGGTGACGGGTCTGGATCCGAGATGGCTTCGACTGGCAGCCTTTCAGTCACCGTTTCAACAATACTTCGAATCGCTGTTCGAGACGGCGCAACTGCCACCTAGTTCCTTCCTACGCACGCCGCCACCCATGCCCACACCAAGCGAAGAAGAGAAAGAAATAGCGGAATGGGAGAAGAGAATGGAGGAGGCGCAACCCCAACCCATCCTCCCTGATGAGGCATGCGATGAACCGACGGAAGCAGAATGGGAAGAAGAGGAGAAGAGCATGCGGGCACGGCGCCTGAGGTCTGACGGCGTCATGGTGGGGCCTCTATTGGAGTCTCGCGACAGCAAGGCCATGGACGACTTTGCTCAGCGCCTGGCAGGGGCGTGGCTCTTGCCCGAGAGTCCTTTCGATGCATTCAATCCCAAGATCAAGCGCCTCGAACCTGATGTGCCAACCACCTGGCCTTTGCGGGATGGCTTTCGGTAAACAGCCCCTGGTCTACCGTTTCGTATTGTTTGTGGCCAGTGTTCCACTTTTCTTAAGTTAATTGATGATCCAAATCCAATAAAAACATTTGTACCAACTAATCAACAGTTCATTTGTCTCTTCCATCGACTTGTCGGTCGGATCCTGGATTTCTCGACCGGTCGGCATCGTGCAAGGTGAATGGAAACGACATGCCGAGAATAAATGTGGACATAACTCAGACCTCCTCCCTTGAAAACCCACGACATAACTGACAACACGCCTACACGCCTTGATCATTTGAAAATCCACCTCCCCACCTCCCTTCCCTTTATATTAACAATCATTTGCGGGCTTCGATCAATTCTCAAGCGACCGACGACGACATTTGATCACGTGTTCGAGCCTTCTCTGGGTGGAAAGGCGCCCCCACAGCCCACAGCCAGCCCAAGCATTCTCAATCAATGTTCAATTTCCACTTCAGCTCTTTTCTGCCCTCGGGGCCTCTCCAGCTCAGAAGCTCTTGAAGCTTACCGATACAGGAGAATAGAGACCGTTTGTGGTAGGTCATCCATCGAAGTCGATCTACGTCACGTACCCGCACACCCCGCTGCGTATTTCTGTGATGGGATGCGAGAGCATCCAACAGAGCCTCGACCTCCTCCGCGATTGTGCGACTATTTTCCCCGGGGAGCAAACATCCCTTCGTACACCGAGCGACCATGATCGTCAGGGATGTTTCTGCAGATGCATATGGAACCATGTCCACATCGAGAATATCGTATAGGTGGCGCATGTCTCCAATCATTTGTCTTGCTAGCGGAGCGGGGAGGTAGTAGTTCGTCTGTGATTGTGGACGAGGCGTTGTGAGAAAATGGAATTTGATCCGTGTATGTTGGTATCTCAACTGGCCGTTTTCAATGCGGAAGTCGGTGGGCCGTAACTGGACCAACAGCCTCTTGAACCTCCGGTCCACGTTTCGAAGATCGTGGTTGTCATCATTCTCACGTTGCTCAAATAGGATTTCCACTGCGTACCGCTGCGGAAGCTGTCAGTAACGGGCGGCCGCGAAGAAGTGGCAGCTGCAGTGAGGTTTGAACTAACATCATCGTTCTCCATTGTCCTAAGGAGAGGGTCGAGGATTGATTCTATGCCAGGACGTTGCCGACCTATGGCCAGATGTCCAATGATGACTAGTCTATAATCCTCGATGTCAGGGATATCTTGAAGACACTCAAGCACATATTGAGCCACGTCATCCAAATGTTTCACTCTCATGATGATAATCTCGAACAGAAAGGCACAGCTCGAATGAGGATGTAAGCGCGGTTGCAAGCAATGATGATCTTAAGCATGATGAAGGACCGGGGAGAACATTTGAGGCTTTATAACTTTTGGTATTCTTGGAGGGAAAAAACCATAGAAGACCAGAGAATGCCCGGATACGGCCTGATCTGGCCTTCAGTACCTGTCCTTCGCGCATGGTCATTGTCTGACGCAATTCTCGTGATGGCATGGCCGTAAGTTGGCCGTTTGCTGCAGCATCCGAGACATAAGCCCAAGTGTTTGATACCCATCCATCGCCCGATCCTGATGACATCCGGAAGAAGCAAACGGATATTCGGCGTTCCCCTGCTTCAGGAGCAATGTGATTGGATATGGCGGAGTCGGCAAGATCACTGAAGGTATTCATTCCATGTAGTGGCTCTTTACCCCGCCCAAAAAGGGATTCTGAATAGTTGTAAGGCACCGGTGTGTGTTTCTCCCAGCGCATAATGGGTCTCCACTATACCGTTATTGCCGGTTCTGAAGGTCGGACCATGGTCAGAGACTGTCATCAGACTAACTGAAGACTAATACCAGCTGCTTACCTGTATGTTTCATTCTGCTTCTATGGATGATAGCAAAGAGTATGTTGACTGGCTTGGACCGAGGCAATGTCCAGAAGGCTGGACACCACACTGCTAGCAACCCGAGGCTAAGGCGATACACGAGAAACTCTGTGGAAGAGACAGTATGGGACGTGATGAATTTGAGTCTGTGGTAGGTAATTGCTGGGCTTTGATTGAGTTGGCCGTGATCAGTCCGGGATTGTCGGGCGTTGAGAGACAGATGATCGCAGGAAGCAACAAGCATACCAGACTTCGCGGTTTCGTTTGGCTTAGGAGCTACCAATGAGGTTTTCGAGCTCCCTAGGATTAACAGATCCCGGTCTAAACTGGTCTGAGTATACCTTTCGCCATCGTGTTCCGGACATCCTAGGGAGCCATGTCACTCTTGAAGACGCATGTCTCTATCCAGTCGTGCTGGTGGCTGGGAGTGGGCTCGAGATGAGCGTTGAACAAGATCTCACTTGTTTCAAAGTAATATGCCTGATTGATGTTCAATGTTCAGGCCTTTGGCGTTGGATGTTTCATGTGTTGTCTTGTGATACATACTTCTGAAAGCGTTTGTCCAGGCATCCCAGGATGCGGTGAGTGAACTTTGGGGAACACTTCTGGTTGAACATGCGAGAACACAAAGAGGAAGAGACGAAAATAGAGAAAGGTGAGGGGAATTAACCAAGGAAGAATCCGGGAGAGCCTGTAGGGCATTTACGTGACGAGCCCTGGTGCTTGAATCCATCTCTGCAGCTCTGGCCTAGACAATTTGCGTTAACAGCCTGCTGTGAACATCCCTGTCGGCGAAATCGAATCTCTGTCCTTCTGGAGGGTCTGTATGAAGGGTATTGTGTGTCTCGGGATTGCACATGTGTGACTACAACCAGCAGTAATAGTCGAATGTTGTCCTCTCAACCAGGACAATGAATCTTCTAATTGGGCTTCCTGCCAGCAGTCCCAGTTGAGGTGATCAGTCAAAGTGAGAAGTAACCCATGGTCCAATCAATTGCCGTCCAGTCCGCCTTTTGACCACCATGATGAGATCTCGTCACCTTCCTGAGTAGTTTGATGATCTTGCATCATGCTGCCAACCAGAGAAACTGGCATGCGTTGGAAGTATTCACTATGGTTGGGGGTTAGGACAATCAGTGATGTAAGCAGGCAAGGTGATGACTATGGATGCCTGTAGGATATGAATTCATGATCGACAAGTAGGGTATTGTACAGAGTAAAGGGATATAATTAGAATTGCTTGTGGTTTGATGAAGATCTTCAGGATGACCTATGGTTCCGTGGTGGTGAAGCTCGGAGAGTGGCCGTTGAGAAAGGTAATGACTAAGCGAAAGACGCCTTACCTGGTTCAGATTAGGTTCCAGATGGAGTTTGCACGGATCGGGAAAGGTGCAGTGGAGTGGCTTTCCCGCAGCATCACCCAATTAAAAAGTGTCCCCCGCAAATGCCAGACATCTCGCACCAATCACCAGACTCAATGAATACGCCGCCGACATCAAGGGCCGGCTGGGCTGAGGTCATGATCGGCAATGCGCAACCGGCTTTTTGATGGCCAGCCTTACTACTAGACTATACTCATACGTAGTGAGAGTTGACCCTTTGGTCCCTTACTAACGAGTCTGCTAAGCTGATTTCTCCTACGCACCCTACCTAGTTTAAGCTGTCCCTGCCCCACACGTAATTGCTCCAGATTCCAGACGTATGGTTGCCCAGACCAGATACTCCATCTCAACTGGACAGACGGATCCCCCTCCCCCTTTCCCGCGGCGGGTCGAGGCTTGCCTGAGTGTTTAATTCTGGACGGGATGATAGACATGCAAAACTGCCTGGTATCGACCAGAACCTGCCGATCTAGGGCTGACCATCGATTAACACATCACGACGTCATGTCCTCGCCGGCCTCTAGTGAATTCACGAGTCAAACAAACAGTTGTACCAAGGCTCGATTCGTAAAGGTGGTGCGTGGTATATACCAGCCTAAATAACTACGTAGCCTTACGTCATATGTCCTGTCCACCTCGTATCTTCCCCCCAGGCAACAAGCTATATAACCCTCTCAAATTCAGCTCGAATCCATCTCCAGATCATCTACAACTATCCAACTATCACAACAACCACTACAACCAAAGCAACATCCAACAAACACCAACCACATTCTTCTACATCACTTCTCTGCATCTATTCAATTGAAATCATCCATCATGTCGAACATCATCCACAAGGTCAAGGACGTGGTCACCGGTCACCACCACGAGAACAAGACCGAGAACACTTCCTCCGACAACCACGGTCCTCACAACTCCAAGATGGCCAACAAGTTGGACCCTCGCGTCGACAGTGATGCTGGTAAGTACACAGCAAAACTTTTCGGAGAAAGATTTCCTGCTAACGTGCCATTCTCAAGACAACCGTGCTCGCCACGAAGCCATGGGCGGTGCCCAGGGCCCTCACGAGTCCAACATGGCCAACAAGGCTGACCCTCGCGTCGACTCTGACCGTGACCACCGCGCTCACCCCACTTCCACTACCACCGGAGCTGGCTACGGTGGCAGCACTACTGCTGGTGGCTACAGCGGCAGCACCAACGCTGGTCCTCACAGCTCCAACATGGCGAACAAGGCCGACCCCCGTGTTGACTCTGACCGCGACAACCGTGCTCGCCACGAAGCTATCGGCGGAGCTCAGGGCCCTCACTCTTCCAGCATGGCCAACAAGATGGACCCCCGCGTCGACTCGGACCGTGACAACCGTGCTGCTCACCACTCTACCACCTCTACTGGCGCTGGCTTCGGCAGCAGCACTACTGGCACTGGTTACGGCAGCAGCACTACTGCTGGTGGCTACAGCGGCAGCACCAACGCTGGTCCTCACAGCTCTAACTTGATGAACAAGGCCGACCCTCGCGTTGATTCTGATCGCGACAACCGTGCTCGCCACGAAGCTCTCGGCGGCGCCCAGGGCCCTCACTCTTCCAGCATGGCCAACAAGATGGACCCCCGCGTCGACTCGGACCGTGACAACCGTGCTGCTCACCACCACTCCACCACCTCGACCGGCGCTGCCTACGGCGGAGCCCCCACCGGTCCCGGCGCCTACGGTTCTTCCACCGGTGCCGCAGGCTACGGTGCCGGCCCGACCAGCTCCACCACCACCACCGGCTTCGGCGGCGGCAGCACCAACGCCGGCCCCCACAGCTCCAACCTGATGAACAAGGCTGACCCCCGCATCGACTCCGACCTCGACAACCGCGCCCGTCACCAGGGTATGGCCAGCAGCAGCTACAACGCTGGAACCACCGCCGGCCCCCACCGCTCTGACATGGCCAACAAGATGGATCCCCGCGTGGACTCCGACTTGGACAACCGTGGTACCCTTGGTACTCAGCGTGGGTTCTAAGTTGTTCCAGCAAGAGAGACACTTAGAGACATGCAAAGACATAAAGAAGAGGGGAAGTTGGGGAAAAGTTGAAGAAATCGCTTTATCTCTCGATCCCTTCATTTGTGTTTTCACCTAATGATGCTGTTATGACCCGTTGATATGCCCGCCTACGTGCGCTTGCTTTGTTACCACTGTTGCTCTTGTTTGATACCAAGCAAGTTTAATGATGCCCCTCTGTTTCTCTTTCCTTACCATGTACTTTATCAAGCTTGATATGCTATCAACTGAATCAAATATCCAAGATAAAAAAAAGCTTCTGTTTCTTTCGTAGTAGTCTCTTCGACGGAGTTCAAAACAAGTGGTTTTTTGAATCATCTCTGAATAAGCCCGAACCCACACACCCTTGGTAAATATGGTAGATGTTACTAGGTAGATACCAGGGGCCACACCCCTTCTCCTTCCTCTCGCCCATCCCCATATTCCAAGATTCCGGGATCTTGGATGTGGTATGTATGCATGACTTCATCACCCCTCCCCTCCTTCCCCTCAAACCCTAGTCGTATTGAATATGGCATGCAATACAGGTTGAAATTAGGTGGGTGGGGTTTAGGACTCATGCAACGGCCTCTACTTAAACTTCCTTCCCTTCCCCTCTCCTTCTTCTATTTATATTATTTCTTACTGTGCGGCATGCTCCTGTTGCAAGCAGAAAAAAATTTACTAATTCTAATTATATTATCTAAACTAATATATTCTTTTTAATAGAAAAGAATAGAAGTATAAAGAAGAACTAAGCGCAGGATATACAGACTAAAAGTTAAATATATTTAATAATATTTAATATCTCTGTGCAGGTCTTATAAAATAGACGCGAAGATCGAACTTAAAACAGAACGTTAAGTTATATAGAAACTTAGCGAATAAAGTACTGTACTGTGCTGTGCTGTGGATGGCTAGGATTCAGGACTCGGTGGGTGGTGGGTACGGGTAAGTAAGACCTGCGGTTCGGCCAGGCCACCATGAGGCTGGCGCCCTTTCCTTGCGTATATCTTTAGATCTGGACTGCGTGGGCCATGGGTAGATGCATCATGCGCGTAAGAGATTATCTCGCTCCGCTGCAGACAAACAGGTGAAACTGGTTCTTAGCTGGGGCGAGTGAGACATGTTACGCAGACTTTGTGCGACCTTCCAACACGCCTTATTTCAAACGATGAGTGAAAGATGAATTCAATATGCAGGCGTTTCAACTACCAAACGAGTATGTATGTACACTTTCACCATAAACACCCACACAAATTAGAGGAATTAGAGAGACAACAAATAATCCGGCTCCGGGTAATCCTCGGAACGCACGTGGTCTTCGAGGCTTGGAGCGAAGCAAGATGGCTCGATCATCGGCCGTTCCAAAGGATACCGTCCTCAAGGTCGGATTGAAGAAGTAAAAGAAAGGGTTGCTTCACAATGGGTATAAGTCATATCAGCGGGGTGGACCGCAATGCTCGATGCTTAGGCTGAAAAGAAGAGAAAAACATGATGGACGATGATGATGAGAACGACGAGGATGATAGTGGCTTGAACGGAAATGCAAACGGAAAATGAAAGAGCGCGACAGTTGCGATAATGGCCGTGATCACCAACAACTGCAAATTTCGCTAGAGCAAAGGGTTCGCTCAATGCAGATACAAATCCCCCGGAACGCAGAGTAGCAGGACCTGGGCTAGGGCATTGCAGCCCGGCCGTCGAGGGCCAACGGGCCCGAATCATTCAACGGCGTCAGAGGGTTCTCGTCCGACGACTCAGAGCGCACGGGCGTTTCAGCACGCAATTGAGCCGGGCGAGTTTGAGCGGACGGGGGCGACTGGGTCAACGACTGCCAGCCGGGAACTTCATTGTTGGCATTGGACGGGACAGAATCAGGATTCGATGTAGGCGCCGGCGGCTGGGAGGAATTATCATCCGACGCATCTAAATCTTGAAGCCGCATATTCTCGATATTGGCGGCCAGTCCTGCCTCGACGGGGAGTCGAGTCTCAGGGTGCCGCTCATTACCAGAAGTCCGCGAGGGTTGTGTGATAGCGTTGGGGTCCGGTTGAGGGGTATGTGTCTCCGACCGAGCGGGTTCCAGGGCGTCGGGCTTATCTTCCGCAGAAGCGGATTTCGATTCCTCTTGCTCCTCAAAGTCGTTGGTATCGTCTACCTCCGCACTTAAATCGGTGTAGGCACGGCAGTTGGGGCATTGGAACATGGGATAGTCGGGTGTATGGATCAGGCGGCTGACACATTTGTAGTGCCAGACGTGGGCACACGCGGCCATGAAAAGGCACTGGTAAGGGCGCTTCAAACCTTGTTAGCGATGGCAATTCCAGATGAAGACGCTGATAACCTACTAGAACAGATCCCAGGCAGATGGAGCATTCTCGACATCCAGAGTAATCCGCGGTGTCCCCCTTTCCAAGATTCTTGATAAGATTTTCGGTGTTTTTGCTATTTCTCCGTCAGCTTCATTCGGATCCCATCGGTCACTCTAAGCATCTTCACTTACTTGAATTCATTGGGCTGCTGCTGCCAGGACCGATTGCATTCGATCCGTATGCGGACACAGCGGAAGATCATTTCCTCGCCACCGCGGAAGTCAATCCCTAACTGCACAATATCCCCATCTTTGATGGTATAAAGTCGGGAGGCGATGTTCGGCTGGCTCAGTCGCATGTGGTTGAGAAAGGTGCCTGACGAACTGCCGACATCCTTGACATGCCACTGTCCGTTTAGATACATGAACTCGCAGTGTTTGCGACTCACGACCTTTGACTTGAACCCGACAGGGGCATCGGAAGGCTCTGTGGGGTTGGCCACGGGCGTGCCATCCCGCTCAGAGTATCGCCCAACGCGAATAACACAACTATCGGATGGTAATGTGCGAGAGATTGGGATGAAAGGCAATGAAGGGCGGCTGCTGGCGTGCGAGTCTTGGTGGGGAAAGAAACGGATGGTGGCTTTTTGTTTCGGTCGCGGGGACGCAGTACACGGGCTTTCGGACACGACTGGATCGGGACTCTCAAGGGCGCCAGGCTGGATGTTCCCTGCGCTCGACACCTCCCCGTTAGGCCTCGCCTCGACGGCCTGTGATGAACCTCGGGGTCGCGCCATGATTTCCTGTGTCTGGTTCCCAGTGGTAATGGCCGTCTCGTTGCGAAGAGGGGAGTTGGACGATTCTGTAGGGGATGGCTGGGAGCGCAAGTCGAGTTCGAGGCCACGGTAGCTGGGGGAAAAAACCGAGCTATAGCGGGCGAACGTGGACTGATGTTCACTTTCGGGACATGGGGCCCGGGTGGTTGTCCCCACTGTCGAGGTCGAAGAATCGGGTCCGGTGGAGGCGGCTGAAAACCAAGAAACTCGACTACCGAGAGTATGACGACGCGAAACCCGCTGGCTGTTGGTGGACGAAGAGGAAGAGGAGGCGACACTGGGTTGCTGTTGTTGTTGTTGTTGTTGTTGTTGTTGTGGTTGTTGAGGAGGAGGGGAAGAAAAATGGAGTTGAGTGTAGGCACGCAGTTGACTAAGGCGACGGAGAGGACGTAAACGAGAGTCGGAGGAGGGAAGAGGAGAGGGAGAGGAGGGGAGGAGGTTGGAGGGAGACGCGGAGGCGGAAACGGAAACAGAAGACATTTGGGGGAGGGGGGGGTGGTTTTAGTAACAAAAGGTGGTGGTAACGGAATTCTTGTTGGTCGGGCTGGGCTGCACTGGGTCCGGCGGGAGGACAGACAAGATAGTAATAATCATTCAATCATTTAATCAATCACCAGTCCGGAAAGAAGAGAAAAGAGTATGTGTGCGTGTGTGTGTGTATGTGTGTATGCAGTATATATATGTTTGTTCCAGAAAACAAAGCGAACAACAACAGCAACAACAACAAAGCACAGTTATCAATGGCAATGAACAAGAGATCCTTCCGATCGATTCCTGGGCGATGGATGGAGCGGCCAAAACTGGATCTCGTGCGATCAGCGCGACAGCCCTAAATTGGGGTCTTCTGCGCCAGTCAGTGGTTCCGATCGGTTCGATGAATGAATGCGCTTCTCGAAGATGATATCTATGCTCCAATGCGACAAGCGGAAGAGCGCAAGGAAAGGGAGGGGAAGGAGGAGAAAGAGAGAGAGAGAGAGAGAGAGAGAGCGCGCGCGCGAGCGAGAGAGAAGGAGGGAAAAGAAGTCAGGAGAGCGAGAACAGACAAGGAGAAGAACAAGAACAGGACCAGACCCGGGCAATAATGAATGATTGATTAAATGATTGAATGAAACTGGAATGCCGGAAAGAGATGGCCTCCATGCGAGTCAAATGGTAAGATCGACTGCCAGTGGGGCGAGTGGAATGTAGACTCTGGACTATGGGCTAATGTGTACGGGCGCAGAGAGGTGAGAAGCAGGGAGAGGAAGATGATGAAGATGAAATAGATTCATCGCACCATTTAGATGAGTTTCAACCCCTCTCTTCATCCCGTCCTAGAAGATCCATGGAACTTAGTACCTACTTCGTACACTGACTGCTCTGGGTTCGCTGTTCTTCACAAACTCCAACCCAAGAACTACTCGCTGCTTTTCGAGTAAGTTGATTACTTCTTACCCAACTCACTAAGTTCAAAGGACCATCTGTTCGGAGGATTTCCCCTTGGACGCGTCAATGGATACCTTAGTTCCTGCACATCCAGCAAAGATCCACCGATTGAATCCTCAAACATTGCCCAACGGAGTATTTCCATGGGCTCCATTTCTTTGGGTGAGAACCACTGACACCGAAAGAACGTCTTGGCCTTTACCGCCACAGCTCGCTTCATTTCTACCAGGCATGGATGCGGCAAGCCACGCAGGGAGAACTACGAGTTATCAGTGGAGGTGGTGAAGTGATAGACGTCTGATTACAGCAGTGGCCCAGAATCTCAGGCTGGATTAGCTTTGCGGGGGAGGAACTGAGCGCAAGCTACCTGCCTCTGCTTGTTCGCCTCTCGGTCCGGTCACGGGCGCGGCCCTCCATGTGATGCAGCCATCGGCCGGGATCGTCTCACGTGGAAGCGCAGCATACGCCTGTCCATTGGCGATCATCGAGGGTCGCGCGGGGGGTGGACTGGCATCCCTCTGGCTGGTGCTGGGAGACATCCATAGTGGGGTTGATTACCGTGGAGGGTGGACAGAACATCAACTAGATAGAGACGACAAACCGGGAGGGCTTGGTCGGTTGATCACCTCGACAGCTGCGTCCCGTCTATCTCGTTGAGACCTTCCAATAGTTCAGACTTTTTTTAAGCATGGGAATAAACAATGCAATGCGAGACATATATGAGTGCGCGCCCCGCTGGTAAAAGAGCAAGCGTCTCGGCTGCAACCACCCGAACAATATATATATATGTGATGATGGGGGCACCAGCTAGGTCATTCACCATCTGTCTGGTGATCGATCATGTTGCAACCCTTCGGGTGAACTCAGGTTGCTGTTTAGAACTTCACCGTCTGAACATCGTGTGAAATAGGTTTCACCGCAATTCAGGATAGTCGAGCTGGCCGACCGCGAAGAATGTCAACCCAAGACCAGTGGCGCAATTGGCCCTGGGTACTGGGTAGTAGTGATCATGGAGTGAACCGTTAGCTTCCGAGGTGGAACCGGGGCAAAGCTGTCCCCATGATAACGAGGGAATCGGTGAAGGACGAGGCGGGTTCGATTGGTTCGCTTGAAGGAAGAGGACATTTTCGCCGCGTATAGAATCGGTAGAGACTTTGACTATCACTTAGTGAACCATAAGAGCCATAATAAGGGTGGTTTTGAATTGGGTTGCGATTAAAAGATCAGGCCAGCAAGAAGCGGTGGGAGAAGGAAGATAGAAAGAAAGAAGAGATGACGAGATGACGATGACGGAGAGAGGGAAAGATAAACAATAGTCAGACCCTGCTATAACAGAGTCACAAAGTAGTACGTAATTTGGTCTCCGTAGAAATTGGGGAACCTGGAACTTGAAATCGTCCGGTCAATTGGATGGATATTCATGGATAGTGCAGTCTCATTGCAGTTGCAGGTGGTTGTTCCTGAGAAGGAAGCCTTGGAGGTGAGGAATCTAATTACTGAGTACTGAGTAATACTTGTAGACTGATTGTAAAGATCTCCGACCGGTGGAGCTTTCTCAGACTGGCAGATGATGGAGTGCGCACTGCACACTCTTGCCTGCTTACTGTAATTGCCTGCTTGCTTTGCTTAGCTTCCTACCAACCTCCACTATCGTAATGTAACTAACTACACAGTACCTTAGCTAGTTACCTACTGCTACAACTGCTGCTGCTGCTGCTGCTCAGTGACTTACCCGCTACTGCGAGCTGCCGTCTCTTTCTCTTCTCCAGTTCTTCTTCTTCTTCCTCTTCTTCCTCCTCCTCTCTTTCCCTTCCCCATTCCCGAAGCTCTCTCTCTCTCTCTTCCTCCCCCAACTCCCTTCTCCCCCCCATTTCTCTCCCTCTCCCCATCTCCCTCTTCTCCGCGATCATTGAATCCGATCTTCTCCCTCACCATCCTCTTGTCCGATCGGGCCACTTTTCTATGTCCGTATAAAAGCGACCGCTGGACTGGTAGGGAACATAGATAGGGACAGGGACAAAGAAACTTGGACATTTCTGCTCTCTCATCAACCTCCCCATCCGCCGCTTTCTCTATCTAAAAGCGGTGCTCACTAACCGAACTTAACCATCCATCCTGCCGCCTCGCAATCTCCCAGCCGCTAGTATCAGCAGAGCCTCCCCCCCCGGCCCCTTCTTTGTTGTTCTATCGCCTATTCGATCTTTCCTCCTTCATCCTATCGATCCCCGATCGTTAATCTCTATTGCGAGCTATTCTTGTCCATACAAGTATACCGCCTTGTTCGTGCTTGATGCAATAAGGACAACAACAAGGAAGCAAGAATACCGAGACGAGTGTCTGTCCCTCAGTCTACGATCGTACTTAGGCGTCCTATCGCCATTTGTCGTCCTTGAAGTCATTGCTTGCGGGGCCTCTTCCTGGTCCTGCGGGCTTCTACAACTAAAGACATGAGTGGAATTACGAGCGCTTGTTTGTCCTGCTTATCGACAGTGGACCGTTGGTGCCATATCTCGGCATGCCTCGGTTCGATCGGTGGTCGCTCTAGGGATGGGATTTATGAATCCACTTTGGCAGACAATGAACGCGAAGCAGTCTCTGACTTGCTGCAATTTCTCGATGCGGTAAGCTCCGTCTCTCACGCTGTCAACTTATCTCTGGGGGATCACTCACACATGTGCGGCAGCAACAACGTCAAGAGATCGATTTCTTCAATGGCGAGCCTCTTCGGGCCTTGAGCACTTTGGTGTATTCCGACAATGTAGAACTTCAGCGAAGTGCAAGTCTGACCTTCGCTGAGGTCACAGAGCGAGGTACGTACGACGCGCACAGAATTGATTACGGCAATGAGCTGACGGCTGAGTTACCCGATCATAGATGTACGCGAAGTCGATCGGGACACTCTCGAGCCTATCCTTTTCTTACTGCAGAGCTCCGACATCGAAGTGCAACGGGCGGCCAGTGCAGCACTGGGAAACTTGGCTGTGAACGGTAGGCCCTTCCCTTCCTCCACAATCGCGGTTGCTGATTGGGTCCAGCGGAGAACAAGGTCTCGATCGTCGCGTTGGGAGGTCTGGCTCCTCTAATACGGCAGATGATGTCCCCTAATGTCGAGGTCCAATGTAATGCGGTTGGTTGTATTACGAACCTGGCTACCCATGAGGATAACAAGGCAAAAATCGCCCGCTCCGGCGCATTGGGCCCATTGATCCGGCTGGCAAAATCGAAGGACATGCGAGTACAGCGTAATGCGACTGGCGCGCTGCTGAATATGACACACTCGGGTCAGACACCTCACTACAACAGCGACAGCCCAACCTCGCTAACAGAATGCGCAGATGACAACCGACAACAACTCGTCAACGCAGGCGCCATTCCTGTTCTGGTCCAATTGCTATCCTCCTCCGATGTCGATGTACAATATTACTGCACTACTGCTTTGAGCAATATCGCCGTCGATTCGTCGAACCGCAAGCGACTAGCGCAGACCGAGTCTCGATTGGTCCAATCGCTTGTGCACCTCATGGATTCCTCGACACCAAAGGTCCAATGTCAAGCTGCTCTGGCACTGCGCAACCTGGCTTCCGATGAAAAATACCAGCTTGAGATTGTGCGCGCGAAGGGACTTTCGCCGCTTTTACGACTCTTGCAGTCCTCTTACCTGCCCCTGATCCTCTCCGCCGTCGCATGCATTCGCAACATCTCCATACACCCCCTCAACGAATCTCCCATCATCGACGCGGGATTCCTCAAACCTCTGGTCGATCTGCTCGGCTCGACCGACAATGAGGAGATACAATGTCACGCCATCTCCACCCTGCGGAATCTGGCGGCAAGCTCTGACCGTAACAAGGAGCTCGTCCTTCAGGCTGGAGCGGTTCAAAAGTGCAAGGACTTGGTTCTTCGTGTCCCTCTTAGCGTACAATCTGAGATGACGGCTGCGATCGCTGTGCTGGCCCTCAGCGACGAATTGAAGCCTCATCTTCTGAACCTTGGCGTCTTTGATGTTTTGATCCCTCTCACCGAGTCTGAGAGCATTGAGGTGCAAGGAAACAGTGCCGCAGCCCTGGGCAATCTCTCATCCAAAGGTATGTGAGCCGCTAGCCTACGGGCCTCATAATACGGATTATGTAGACTAACGTGCGATAGTGGGAGATTATTCGATTTTCGTGCGCGACTGGGCGGATCCTAATGGTGGCATTCACGGCTACCTTAGCCGATTTCTGGCAAGCGGCGACCCGACATTCCAGCACATCGCTATCTGGACTTTGCTACAACTTCTCGAATCTGATGACCCGAGATTGATCGGGTACATTGCCAAATCGGATGATATTGTTCAGATGGTCAAGTCGATCTCTGATAAGAACATCGAATCTGACGAAGAAGATGCAGATGAGGGTGAAGGCGAGGTCATTGCGCTGGCACGGCGATGCCTCGAGTTTCTGGGGAGTGGTCACAAGCAGACCCTTGTAGAAGGCTAATTTAATTTCGTCTTTTCGAGCGCTGACGCCGGTTTTCGAAGCTCACTACTTCTGTCTTCTTTTTTCTAACTGATAATCATTCGATTCTTCCCCGTGTCTTCTGTCTTACCTACTATACCTTGAGTGTCCCTGTTATGTGGATGTTTTGCTACGATGACCTATACTTGTCACAGGTGTTAAGCGAGCATATGATTCGGTGTCACTTATCTATTATTCTATCATGTCAGCGAGCATTAGGTGTGAGTGATGAAACTGATTTGTTTTTGTTGGAAAATGTGACCTGCAGTTGCTCCTGGGTCACATACGAGTCATCTGCGACTAACGTTGTATTTACTATGTACTTAAGAGTAGATCTCGCTCGTATCATTTATCTATAGTTGATTTGATTTGCTTTTTATCATTAAAGATATTGGAGCGATGATGTCATGTGTGAATGCTCGTACCTTTCTGTGTTTGTTCTGTATGTCCATCCATAGCTGAGCGGGGAAAGAGTTTCTCCCGTCCGGAGCTCCGCCACCAAACTGAAAAAGTAGTCAAGCTCTGCGGCGGTTCATCATTCCACACCTACCGAACAACAGACAGCCTCCCCTTCTACCATTCATTCTTCAGCTGCATCAGTTGCTTCTCGGTCCGAATGACGAGCACACTACCAACTTTGGCCATTCCAGGCCAGCGCCTGGCCCCTGTGAGCTCTTACGCCGCAGGCCCCGGTACTCATGTGCAGAATGCGAACATCTACGCCTCCATCGCCGGTCCCGTTCTCGTCAACCCCGCCAGCTCCAAAACCGCCAAGTCCACTCTGAGCGTCTCTCGCAGCCCCCTCCGCAAAGCTGCTCCTTCTGCCTCTCCGTCCGCACCAAAGTCCACCGCTCCCGGCCCCTCCAAACCACGGTACAACACTCTCCCCGCCGTCGACTCGATTGTGCTCGCGCGCGTGACGCGCGTGCAGAAGCGACAGGCCACGGTCTCCATCCTCGTCGTGCTCGACGAGTCAGCCAGCAACAATAAGTCAGGACCGCAGCCCACCACCACGACGACAACCCCCACCGGCGGTTCTTCGGACAACGACAACATCGAAGCGATCCTCTCCTCCGCCGCCAACCCGGAGAACCACAGCAACTCGGACGAACTGCGGTTCCAGGCGCTCATTCGCAAGGAGGACGTCCGGGCTGTCGAGAAGGACCGCGTGGTCATGGACGAGATGTTCCGCGTGGGGGACATCGTGCGTGGCACTGTGATTTCCCTGGGCGACCAGAGCTTCTATTACCTCACGACGGCGCGCAACGACCTCGGGGTGGTGATGGCGCGCAGCGAGGCGGGCAATATGATGTTCCCTGTTAGTTGGAAGGAGATGCGGGATCCTGTCACGGGAGCCGCGGAGCTGAGGAAGGTTGCGCGGCCGTTTTGAGGCTCCTGCGTGATTTGACGATGATTATGATTATGATAATGATGAAGTCGATGGAGTGGTGGATGGCTGGATGGGGTGGGATTGCGACAAAGGGACGCTCGGCTTGGCTGAGTCTTGAGCTTTCTGGGTGCACCAAGCCCATCTGTCTGTCCGCATTTCATCTTGCCTTGTCTTGTCTCGCCTTCCGGAATGGTCCCATGAATGATTTCGCCTCAAACCAAACCAAATTCTCTTCCTGAGGGTTCGGCTACCGGCTACAGTACAGCGGTTTGCTGGTCTTAGCCGGGGGTGAAAACTCCTGGAACTGGGGGATGCCTCTTGTTTCGCGTGAGGATGCATGGCTGTGGGCTGGTTGTGTGACTTGAATGGGAAACTTTGTTTGAGCAGGAAGTCTCTAGTCTCAGGCACAATCACTCTATCCCTGCTGGCATGCGACCCCCGGTGTCCGGTCCTGTAGAACGTGCTCCAGGCTGCGGTATGCGCCGTCTCAAGCCTGCTACACAACACCGGTACCGTTGAGACTGGTGTCGCAGGGATCTGGAATGTCGTTGCTGGCACTCTCGAGCGGCGGGTAGGATGGGCAAGAATCCATACGACTGTACATATGGCAGTGCACTTTGCACCAACTAGGCTACTAGATTTTCTTCGGGGAAAAGTCAATACCTGGTGGAATCGAGGCTTCTTGCATTAGGATTGAATCTAGAATAGAGTATATCTGAATCAATCGAAGTGTTAGCCACTCTTCCTGTTTGCGGAAATAGGTACTATTCGTTTCGCATTAATTCGATATCCTTATGCTTGGGGAATTGACGCTAGAGTTGATCATGGATTCAGCACGCAATACTGCTTCACTGGATTACTGAGTAGAATAGAACTATCTGCCACTCGAACTTGAGAGATCAAAGCACCCATCAATGACGTGCACATCCGATAAATAGCATACAAAACCACCAGGGTAGCGTAGCTCTCTTCCATCTTTGTATTCCAAGCTCTTTTTGGCATTGCTATACTTACAGTCGAACGACCGTATCATACTAATCCAACATCACCACCACCACCACCACCACCACCAACAACAACACAAAGCACCAACCCTTAAAGACGGATTTCATTTCTTAAACCTATACACAGCACCCACCCCCCCAAAAGATCTAAAGATCTACTTCTTCAAAGTCTTCTGCTTCTCGGCATCAATCAACTTCCGGCCCTGCACGACCAAGCCCTTCCGCCGGCGCACGGCATCCATGTACCGCTTGGCGACGTTCTCGCGGTCGGCCAACTCGCCCAGATCCTCGAGCTCCTCCTCGGTGGCGGGGACCCAGAAGGGGTCCTCGTCGAGGGCCTCATAGCCCGCGAAGATCAGCTGCGGCTGGGCGGCGCCCGACGTGCGCTTGCGGATCTCGTCGGCGAACCCGAACGACTCGGCCACGGGGAGGAGGGCCAGGATCGTGAAGAACGGGGTGCCTTCTTTCATCGTCTCGGAGAGGATGCGGCCCCGGCGACGGGTGATGACGCCGTAGACGCGGCCTAGGACTTCGGCTATCGGGGGAGTTTAGCTTTGTGTTTTGAGGGATTTGGGGGTAAGGGGGGGGGTTTGTAAAGGGGAGGGGGGGATAACATACTCGACGCTTGAATCTCACAACTATACATCGCAAGCATGATGCGGGGACTCCAATCTAGGAATCCCTGTGATATACTCTCGCGCACGAGGCGGATGGCTTCACCCGTCAGCCGGCCTAGATCGAGGTCTTCGCCGTTGGTGGAGGTCGCGGAGAGTTCTTCTAGGAAGACGGCGACGCCTTGCATGGGTTCCTGGCAGAGGGGTCCTTGGCCCGTTGCGAGTTGGAAGGCGTACGCGATCTTGTCGTTGAAGTCGCGGACGATCAGGGCTTCGCGGCTGTTGGTGGTGTCTGCGGTGACGGTGGGTTGTTGTTTGGGGTCGTCGAGAAGGCTTTTTTGGTGTTGAGATTCAACGTTAGCTTAATGAATCACAAGGGCAAGGGTTGATGGGAGAAAAGGGTGCTGCTGGCTGCTGCTGGCTGGACTTACAATTTCTCGCAGGTGTTCACGGTGGTAGCATCCACCAGGATGTTAGGGCCGACTCGTCGGGGCCCAAAGGCCGTGATCCGGTCAACCACGTTCTTCCACAGCTCTTTGTCCTCTTTGACCTCTTCGTCGAAGATCTTGTTGAGTTCGGCGCGGAATTCCTGCAGCGACAGGAGCGTCGCCTCGCGGGCTTCCTCGGTGGTGGCTTCGCTGGCTTCCACGGGCTGGCTGCTCTCCGCCGTACCATCCGTGTCAGTGCCGCCGGATTTGTTCTCCGCAGCGGTCCGTTTCTGGGTTTGCAGTCGCTTGATGGTCCCCACGTGCTTGGAAAAGAATTCCGTGACAGCCGATGGCAGGGGCACCACACGCAGTCGCATGGTCAGTTGCTTCGAGGGCGACACGGCCAGAATGCCGCCGCGGCCGAGCTCGGGATTCTTGGGTGCGGCCATCTCAGGGGCGCTGATGATCGTCTCGCGGTAGGGCACGATGGTCTGACCGGTTTGGATGTCACATTTGGCGAAACGCTCGCGCAGGTCCTTCAAGCAACGCTCTAAGTGCAGTTCACCAGCTGTCAGGATCACATGCTCACCGCTGTCGAGGACCTCGTATTGCGCGCAAGGGTCACTTTGTTCGAGAAGTCGTAGGCCGGTGACCATCTTACTCAAGTCGGCCGGGTTCACAGGCTCCAGGGCAACGCGGACGATTGGAGGAGTGTTCAACGAAACACCCGCCAAGTTGATGCTGCCCTCAAGTTGCGAGCAGAGCGTCCCCGTCTTCAAGACGTGGCCAGCAAGACCTCCAATACCAAAAACAACACCCGCCGGCACGGACTGGAGGGGCTCCAAGCTTCGTCCCATTAGCAGATACAGATCGGTGACTGTAACCTTCTGGGGTTCGGGGCTGGCATGCGGGTTCTCCGGGTTGAACTTGGGAGCGATCACATACACGGAGTCTCCCACGGAGAGCGTACCCGAGTAGAGACGTGCGAACCCGATTAAATGCTCGGGGTCCTCTTTCTCTTCGGGCTCAGCTGGCGCATCGTCAAGATAGGTCCGTTCGAGGGCGGACGTCACGCGAGAGAAATCGTCTTGCTGCTGACCGCCAGCTTCCGCCTGCATTTTGGCGATCTCCTCTCTCTTCTTGCGGGCAATCTCCCGCGCTTCATCCGCAGACATGGTGGTACCAGAGCGCTTCTTGCTCGAGGAGAGCTCACTCTCCGGGATGGCGACCATCTTACTGACGTAGGCCACAACTGGCTCGTTCGGCTCCGTCTTGAAGCTGATCATTGCGTCCTTCACCTTCTGGTCGACGAAGTCTGCTCCCGGGGAGTCTGCAATCAATCCCGGTAGACGGGTTGCTTGAGCCGCGGGCGGACTGGGAAGGTATTCAATGACAGAGACCAGGACAGCGGTCGAAAGAGGCAGCCACATCGAGAACAGGGTGGTCATGATATTTTTAGGGTCGCGGGAGCGTAGGATGTAAGGAGGGATGCTGATGTTCAGAGATTTGGTGATCTTTTCCAACAAGGCTGGATCGCTGTTGACGGTCAGTAAACGAACAAGGGACCGTGTGTAGGTTACATCTCTTACCCCCGCCCTGAACCTCCGCCAGTCGTCGCTTCGTATGCTGCCCAGATACTGTCAAGCACAAGTTGGACGAACATCGGCTTGAGAGCGCGGCCCTTCAGGTGCTTCTGCCCAAGGACTCGCTTGGTCTTGGGATCAAGATAATAGTCTCCCCAGAGGACCTTCTCCAGAATCTCACGCTTGATTCCGAGCTTCTTCTCGTAGATCACAGCGAACTGTCGAATTGTAAAGGCCCAGCCATCGACTGCACTGCAGAAGATGACATTGTTCTTCTCTGGTGCAAAGTACAGATCCTCGTCGTCCTTCTCCTCATACTCAGTCGTTTGCTCGTCGTCGTGATCTTGCTTCTTGTTGAGGCGCTCCTCCATGCGCTCCCGCCACTGCAGGTCCTCTTCCATGCGCTCACCCTGGTAGAAACTTCCGATCACCGCATTGACCTGCTCCAGCAGCTTGCTCATGTGCAAGTAGGCCTCGCCAGGGCTCATCTTCAACTCCGTTACCAGTCGGTCGATCTTGTTGATCACCAAAATGGGCTTCAGTTGCTCCACCCAGGCTTGACGCAGCACGGTGACCGTCTGACTGCAGACGCCCTCGACAGCGTCGACCAGAACGACGGCACCGTCGCACAGGCGCGAGGCAGTCGACACTTCGCTGCTGAAATCGATGTGTCCTGGAGAATCGATCAGGTTGATCAGATACTCCTTGGGCTCGGGGGCGGCGTCGGGCGCGGGACGGCGCATCATGGAGAAGAACAGAGAGATGGCCGACGACTCCATGGTGATACCCCGAAGCTGCTCATCTGGACGGGAGTCCAGATAGCGGATCTTGCCCGCCAGCTTGGGAGAGATGATACCATTGGTGGCAATCAGACTATCCGTCAAGGATGTTTTACCATGATCCTGTATCATATTAACTTGTATATCTTAAGATCCCTTGCGGCCACAGGATCAGATTTTTCTTTTAGGGTTGCTACCTACAACGTGAGCGAGAATGCAGATCTGAATGTGAGCATTAGCGTTGTTCTGGCTGTGTTGCGACAAAGAAACGAGTGCGCAAGAAAGTCCGACGTCATGTCATGCAAAGTGGGATGATGGAGGGGTAGATTGAGACTGAACTCACATTCCGGACATCATTGGGCTTCCGTTGTAGACGAACGAGGTCATCTACATTAACAACAGGCATCTTGAAGACGGATTGGTGCTGCCACACAGCTCCCACGGTTTCAAGAGTGAGGTTCGATTGAATGAACGGGCTGGGTTGGTTTTTTGGTTCCGCCGTTCGCTGCGGAATTCGAGGGGGAAAAATTGCCTCGGGATTTTGGTCCTGCGTCAGAGTCCTGACTCTCTTCTTTCCGCCCCGCGAACTGGAGTCAGGTATGCTAAAACAAACTGATAGATAAGATTGTGCTTGAGATGATTTAAAAGAAGGATGAATAGGAAGTTGGTGGATTCCACGCACTTCCTGATTATTAATTGCTTCGGTTTGGCAGTCACTACAAACTACGGGACCGCCACTGCACTTATCAACTACTATGCCAGCAAGGTCTGGCTAAGATGGTTTCTCTTCATACAGCGCAATAGAGCATTTGGTCTGAGATCTAGGGTATCATTTGTTGGGCTATGTTCATGAGTCAAAATCTGTCATCATGACTCATCGTCAAACGAAAGCTTGATCTTCTTCTTCTGTTTCGCTTTTCGCACGCCCGACGAGTCTTTCTTTTTGGTGTCTTCACTCTCTGCGGCTGGAGCATCTTCACCGATAACCTTGGCTTGTTTTCTTTTTCGTGGCCCGCCAATTTCGGCCATGTTCTGCTTGGAGGTCGATGTCTCAGCCCCAGTGTCTGATTTACTACCCTCCCCGGGCTGGCCTGCGGACTTGTTTTCGTCCTTATGAACCTTGTCGAATTGGTCATCATCCCCGGCGGGTTTGTCTCCTCGCACAAGAGCTTCATATTCCTCTTTGGAGATGATGTCGTTGCTCTCTTCGTCCACGTAGGTAGGTCCATCGTCGTCGTGTTCCTCGCGCGGCTTCCGTGGCCGGGCAACGGGTCTCTCAAGGCGACCCGAGTTGTCCCCGTATTGATTCCTAAGTCTCTGTAGAAAAGCCGGCTCCTTGGCCTCTGCGACAGGTTATTCTGAGTTCCGGGTGTTGATGGGGTCGAACGTACCGTAGGCGAGGTCTTTTGACTTGAAGGACATGATTGTGACCAGCCAGAAATGTAGTCTGTTAGCTATGCACGAGTGAATGTAGTGATATTGTCCAAATGTACGAATATGAGATTTGGGGCTGTTATCATAGCAGCTCAGACGCGGCCGCAATAGCGCTTCACAGCAAGGGTGTGGGGAACCTCTTAAGTTCTAGTGTCGCGTCCACTGCTGTGACGTAGAAAGCCACGCTATCACTCCGTTTTTTGGTGAGATTTGACTTCAATGCTGTGTAAAATTCTTTGTCAAACGAATTGTGATCAAGAGCCAAGGTAGCCAGAAGGCAATACTTTGTTTTTTAAAGCTCCATCGGTCGAAAAGAAGGAGCTCGAGTGGTAACGTTGAACCGCCAAGCAATCGTCAGCGATCAGGCTTGCGGTGCGGCTAATCCAAATCGGGCGAGGTCGAAAAGTCCAAAGGAGCCCGCAAGCTGCACCTTCAACCAACAACCTCCCCATCAACCATCACATTCACATAAACATGCTGTGCGCAAGTGAGTCTATGGATCTTACGCGTCTGCATAGCTTCGATGCTGACAAAAAATTGCCAATAGTCTCAGGAGAGGCACCACAAGTGCCCGTCGTCTCGCCCAAGAGCGGTACGTTGCACCCTCTCGCGTGCGCATCAATGCGACCTACTCGTATCTGACGTCTCAGCAGGCAGTGTGTTCGAGAAGCGACTCATCGAGGCGTACATTGCGGAGAACGGCAAGGACCCCGTCAATGGGGAGGAGCTTGCTGCAGACGAACTCATCGAAGTCAAGTCCCAGCGCGTTGTCCGGCCTAGACCCCCCACCCTCACCTCGATCCCCTCATTGCTCAGCGTCTTCCAGGAGGAGTGGGATGCCTTGGCTCTTGAGACCTACACGCTACGACAGACTCTGGCACAGACCCGGCAGGAATTGAGCACGGCGCTCTACCAGCACGATGCCGCCGTTCGGGTGATTGCTCGGTTGACGAAAGAAAGGGACGAAGCCCGCGATGCACTATCTAAGGTTACTGTCAGTGCCAAGGGCGCTGGTGAGGCCATGCAGGTGGATTCGACCGGTCTGCCCGAAGCCGTCCTCGCTCGCGTGGAAAGTACACAGGCTGCGTAAGTCTTCCGTGCCATGACTAATTGGCAGGAGCCCACTGCTGACTCACTTGCAAACAGGCTCTCCAAGACCCGTCGCAAGCGTCCCATCCCCGAGGGCTGGGCTACGAGTGAAGCGATCTCCGCCTTCAAACCTACCCAAACCTCCGAGACTCTCCAGCCCGGCGCAAAGACGTTGTCTGTCAACTCGTCCGGTGAATTGGCTATCGTCGGTGGCGCAGACGGTACTGCCAGTGTGTACTCCGTATCCCAGAAACAGGTGGTTCAAGTCCTGCCAGCGAGTGGACCCATCACTAGTGCTGCATGGGCTGGTGAGAAGGCTATCATTGCTTCGTCTACGGGCTCTGTCAAAGTCTTTGAGAATGGAACCGAGATTGCGAACTTCAACTCTCACGCTGGAGCCGCAACGGCTGTGGCTGTACATGCCACTGGCGACATCGTTGCTTCCGTTGGTGCCGATAAGAGCTACGTGCTGTATGACTTGACGACGAACTCCGTTATCACCCAGATCTTTAGCGATGCTTGTAAGCAGCCCTTTGGAAGTCCCTTACTGGGTGGAATTCAACTAACGCTCGATACTTGATCTAGCCCTCCTTTCTATTCACTTCCACCCCGATGGCCACCTCCTTGCTGCCGGTGGTCAGGATGGTCAGATCAAGATTTTCGATGTTAAGACCGGTGCTGCCGCCGCGAGCTTCGCCATGCCCGCCCCTGTGAAGAGTCTCTTCTTCTCCGAGAACGGTACTTTCTTGGCTGCCGTGGCTGAGAACTCCACCACTGTGTCTATCTGGGATCTTCGCAACGGTCAGGAGATCAAGGTGATTGAGACAGGCAGCCAGGTTGATTCTATCAACTGGGACTACACCGGACAATTCCTGCTCACGGCCGGACCCAGCGGGTTGACGGTGAACCAGTACTCCAAGGCGGCCAAATCGTGGTCGGAGTCCCTGCGGAGCGCCGTACCCGCGGTGGCAGCGGTCTGGGGTTCTGCTGCTCAGAGCATTGTGGCGCTGAACACTGAGGGAGGTGTGACTCAGCTTACCGCACAGTAATTCTGTGTGATACCTGGTGAACTTGGATCCAAAATCAACAATGATTATTCTGTAATTCTAGCTGGCTGTGGTTTCATTTGATCATTTGTGAATGGCGTCTCTGCTTGGTCTTTTTTTTGTGTTTTGTTTTTCCATCCCACAAGCCAGACCATGAACCGGATCAATAAATTTCAAAGAACCAGAATAAACAGAACAAAAGAAATGTTGGTGGTTCCTGATCACATAGAAACAAAACCGAGTTGTCACCCATATTTGGCCAGTTGTTGTTGGAGCGGGCAAAAAAATCCCGGCTGAGAAAAGGTCATTCGCAGCGTCACCGGTTACATACTCCGTACAGTCAGTGTCCTGTACATAACTTAACTATCCAGCCCTTGGTTAACCTGATTAATCACCACCACGGTTCAACCGGAGGGAAAGAAACCCAAGGGAGCCGATATGCCGGGACCCAGCCAAAAGCCAAAAAACCTAAAGGACTACCTACGATCGAAATGAACCTCTAACCGCTCTCATTCCTTCACCTCCACTGCCTACTAAGCAACATTATGGCCTCCACCGTCTACCGCCGGCAATGAGGCCTAAACTCCGCCTCGGCCTTTCTTTGATAACAACCTCCCTCTCTTCTCTCTCCACTTCTCTCTCCTCTCTCTCTCTCCCTTTCCTCACTTCCCCTCGCTTGGGGCCTCATCTGCTGTTTATTTTCCACTCGGATGCCCATCATGAGTGACGATTCAGGTGTTCAATTTGTGACTTCTAGGCCAAGGAAGGTTGGTAGTCTCCTTCCCTCCCCGCTAGTCCGCCCAGTTTGCCGCATGCCCTCAATATCTCCCCTCAGGCGGGGTACATCCATCTCGGCCTCGTTGAGTTATCGATAACCTAACTGACCTTTCCTGCAGCGACCGCATCATGAAATAGCAAGAGCTACACCACCACAATTCTCCGGCGGCGAATCTTCATCGTCCAGGACGCTTCCTCCGCCCTCGCCACCACGACGGCGGTATCCCGGAGATGGCTTTGACTTTCGTCGGCCCATTACATCGGCGACCCCCAACGCAGAAGAAGTCATCGACTTGACCCTGGACTCAGATCCTCCCGAGACCAACGCAACTCAAGATGTTCGGAATAACCACCAAGATCACTCTACACAAATCTCACAGTCGAGGGCCCCGGTAGTGGTGGATCTGGAAGAAGAATATGAAGACTTGACTCAAGATGAACCTCCCAGCAGCCCGGAGGTACAGTTTATTGGTGCCACCGCTCGGCCTTCACGACCTCCTCCATCCTCGACGATTCCAGAATGGGCACCACAGTTATTAAGGATCTTCAACATGTCACAGGGCAGGTTCCCCGCACGACATCGAGTCTTGCGGCCACCAGATGTGGACGTATCATATATTGGAGAGCATCCAGCGGGCGCTATTGACCTGACGTTTAATTTCGACATGAGAAGACCTGACGTGAGAAGACCTGAAAGACCCCCAGCGAGCGCTTACAAGCCGCCGAGCCCTCCACCGGATGGATTCACAAGGACCCTTGAAGAGGATGACGTTGTGGTATGCCCCAACTGCGATGGGGAGCTGGGCGTTGGCGACGAGATTAGGCAGCAAATATGGGTAGCAAAGCAATGTGGACATGTACGTACCCTTCCTCATTCCCTTCGACCATTGCAAGGCCACTGCTAACGTGCACAGGTATATTGTGGCCGTTGTGCCCACCATCGCTCCAAGGCCAAATCAAAGAAGTTGTCCTCCACGAAGCCATTCTCTGTATGTCAGGTGCCAGAGTGTGGCAAACCGGTCAGCTCACACAAAGCTATGCTTCAGATCTACCTCTGACCCATTGTCCATCTTTCTGCATTTTTCAGGATTTGGGAGTCATGGGAACAGGTTTGCATTTGGTTGCATGTCGCTGGCGTTTAACTGCAGGGCTTCTTTCACATTCTCATAACATATGACCACGATGCATCAGGATACCCCAATTTATTTTCATTTCTAATGTTCATTCCTCCCTCCCGGTTTGGTCGAAGGGATGCACCATGTTTCTTGTCGATATCGGTCTTAGCCATTCTGGTCCGGGTACGATATGCATTGGCCTTGCATATACATGTGGATAATGATATTGTTCCAATATACTTAGATGACGCTTCTCCACATAGCACATACCCGTAGAAACAATTTAAAAAGCAATTTGTACATATGATACATATCCGATTGCGAGACAGAACCACGTTGGGGGTTGCCCCACGGGACAAGGGAATGCCGAAGCATGAAAACAAGCTAGCCCATAACGAATAAACCAAACAAAAAGAGTTTCCAAATTGTAACACCACTGCAGTAACCAGATACCCAATTTCCACTTACACCGACTTGAGGCCACCGTGGAAAGGGTCCCAGATACCTCTGACACTCTCGTTAAGACTCGTAATGGGCTTCTTGGTGCGCTTCGTCTTCTCGCCGCTGGCCGCCTTCAGCAGATTCGCCTTGTTGAAAATCTGCTCGGGCTCGAGGTTGCGTACACAGATCGCCTTCTCTCGGCCGTTGATATAGTGGCCCTTGATGACGGGGTGCTTGTGTGGCCGGGGCGATACTCGGATCTCGATCTGGGGGTTGGCTTTGGCGAAAGAGGGGAGGTGGTGCTTGAGGAAGGAACTGTGTAAAGTTGAGAACCGTCAGTCTATGCCTTCAGATTATGCTTCTCAAGCCACTTCAGACTGGCTACTTGGGGAAGAGACATACACCATGCCGCGAGAGCTACCAGCCCAGTCGCAGTAGTGGAAGTCCAACTGCTTGCATTGTAGGATAAACGCTCCGACACCGTTCTGAACAAGCGCGTTAGTCCAATTCTTCAGGATACTTCAGGCGTCTAGAGGCAAGAAATAGAACATACTCTGGCGGTCGTCACCGTCCGGATCCCTTGGACAGGCATGGCGCTGTATATTGTCTCCGTTGTCTGGTTTGGCCGGTCGAACGACTTTCCACACTTCAATCTCCAGACCCGTGACACCCTGGTCGGGGACTTTTCAGCGGCGCGGCGCACCCGAGAGATCCCCGCCCACCATTGGCCAGGGCGGTAATCTCGGCTACCGCGACTAGGCGGTTCTCGACCGGTGCCAAGACAACTGGAACTCAACCTGGTACTAGCGGGAGCCCGTGGAAAGGACGACCACGACGCGAAACTCGAATCCAACACTCAGTACTTCCCGGAGCTTCGACACTTACCTCATCTCATCTCACCCCACCCACAGAAGGTCGGGAGTCAAAAGAAGAGGGAATTTCGATTTGATTCTTCAACACATCCGAAGAAATCCCCAGTCATTTGGATGGTCTCCGTCAGATAATAGACTAGAGAGTTTTCGAGTATTCTCCCGCATCCGAAACCTCTTGTGACCTGACAAAGGCGCAAAATGACGGACAAGCTCCCCCCTCCGCTTCTGGCGCTGTTCCAGCCTCGCCCGCCCCTCCGCTATGTCACGCCCATCAATCGGGCCCCTGAGGACTGCAAGAAGAGTTCCATCGGTGGGATCGCGCAATTCCTGCCCGAGCTGAAGCAATACGAAGAGGAGGTCCCCTACAATGCCACAGAGAGCTGGATTCAGCGCAAGTTGCGACAGAAGGTGGAGAAGAAGGAAAACATGGAGAAGCAAATCACAGAAGGGCTCGAAGGATGTATGCATCTCTCTTCTAAATATTCTCCTACCTCTTGATGTATTGTGAACCGCCGGTTTTGCTAATATCCGTTGGCGCGCCACAGATGATCCGTCGAATGACCAACAAGCTCGCGGAGACCCGTTCAGGACCCTTTTCGTTGCCAGACTGAGCTACGATGTCAAGGAGTCGGACTTGGAGCGGGAGTTCGGCCGCTTTGGCCCTATTGAGAGAGTATGGTTACCTGAGTCTCCCAAACGCGCGCTTATCGGAGTAGCTAAACTGACCATCACCAGATTCGTATCGTCAAGGACACCGTAACGCCAAAGGGTTCGAAGAAAGCGCACAGAGGATATGCTTTCATCGTGTATGAGCGCGAAAAGGACATGAAAGGTATTGCTACAGATCTAGTCGCCGATTACCCCGGATGACTACTCCTGGTATAATAATCTCCCGTGCTACTTGATTGCTAACCTAGTGTTTTTTTCTTGACGAACTTCAGCGGCCTACAAAGAGACAGATGGCATTCGCATCAAGGATCGCCGGGTTCTGGTAGATGTTGAGCGTGGTCGGACTGTCAAGGGTTGGAAGCCCCGTCGTTTTGGCGGTGGTCTTGGAGGACGAGGTTACACCAAGGCTCTGCCTTCCCGGCCCATTGGACCTGGGTCTTTCAACGCTCCTTCAGGCCCCGGTGGCTTTGGCGGTGGTTTCCGAGGTGGCTTTGGCGGTGGCAGAGGCGGCCGGGGAGGCTTCCGTAACGATCGTGGTTTCGGTCCTCGCGGCGGTGTCGGGTACCAAGGGGGCCGCAACGGCTTCGGCGGACAGGCTCCTCCCAACGCTCCCTCGGGTCCCGGAGGTGGACGCAGTGGTGGCTTCGGTGGCCCTGGTGGCCCTGGTGGCCCCGGTGGCCCCGGTGGGCCCGGTGGAGGTGGCAGATTTGGTGGCCGTGAAGACCGGGGAGGCACTGGTAGCAACCGTGAACCCATCAGACCCCGGGACAGCTTCGGTGATCGCGACCGCCGAGACCGGGACCGGGACCGTGAGGGTGGTGATCGCTACAGAGACCGTGATCGGGACAGTCATCGCGGTAGCTACCGCGACCGCGACCGCGACCGTGACCGCGAGCGCGATAGATATGGAAGCCGTGGCGACGATTACGGGCGCAAGAGATACCACGAGGACGACTCGTACGACGACCCCCGCGCCAAGAGAAGGTACTGAACTGCTTTGACGGAGGGCTTCCTCATCTTAGTATCCAATGACCGTTTGGTGGTGGGTATTCCTGATTGATCTCCTTTCTCGTCCTCCCGCGTCGACAAGGGTAAGGCCAGCCAACACCGCCTTCGATCATAAGAGCCTGGGCGTCAATGAGTCAGTCAGACAACCAACTAGGCAGTTCCTTACGAGAGTCGAACGTCGCAACATCTTTCCATAACATTTGTCAGGAGGTATCCACGGCAGCACCAGCAGACGTCTCATTCACATCAAGTCGATTGATGTCTACTCCCGCATCAGACGCTTCGCAATTTCCTATCAGTGCTCGTCATACTCCGCTCCCTTCTCTTTCTCTCGTGTCTTCATTAACATTCATGTCCTTTGTGCTTTATGTTTGTTCCTGGGCTTTACTACGGCCGTTACTCTCTCATTGTGGGGTAAGTATGTACGTTAGATCTTTAACATTCTCTTCAGGCGGAATCGTGGTTGGGTCGGGATTTGGGACGTTCAGGTAAGAAGATCAGGTAGGGTTTTCCATCAGCAATGACCGATACCAGGGATCTTCACACAGAGGTAAAAATCAAGGTAATGATTCGTTACTAGCGTCAGGGTATGGTGGATAGTAGCAATAGGTTTTCTCGATATAATGTGCTCATTGTAGTATTCTTGCCGGGAGAGCTCTGATGAAACGTTTTCAGGCCTAGACCCCAAGACCAGGCTGGCCGTAATAAATTACCTCCTCATTTGGCTTGTGTTCGACCCATTGAAATTAAAGGCACTGTGCAGTGTGTCTGTTCATGCTCATGCGCCGGCACCAAACCAGCCTTAACCGCCAAGCCGATGCACTTAATTTCTATTCTTCAGTCTCTATACACGGGCGGGGAAGGGGGAATTGAATGAGAATCATAAATAAAAGGGAAATGAAACTTTTTCTTAAATGAGAAACAGAAAACAAAACGAAAAAAAAATAGGTGTATATGAAAGAGACCCGCCCCGCAGACCTATAGAAAAAGAAAAAAAAAACAATGATAAAAGAGGATAGGTATTCCTGAGTTGGTTCATTTTTTCTTTCTGGTTCGTCAACTACTCCTCCATGCCATCCTCATCCTTCGCCAACAGCTCGACCTCATTCGTACTCCGGGTCCAGTGCGCCTTCAAGGCGACCCGGAACTCGGAGGAGACGACGCCGAACATCTTGAGCAGCGTCGTCTGCCGCGAGTCGAGCACCTCGCCGGCCCGGCACACGGGGTACCCCTCCTGATCGTCGGTCAGCTCCAGCATCACCTTGCCCTTGACGAGGCGGGTGGGCACGCCCAGCTTGCGGAGCTCGGGCTCGATCGTGTGGCTGACGGGCTCGTCCTCGGCGGCGGGGATCTCGCCCGCGCGCGAGTACACCAGCCCGTTGGGGATGGTGAAGGCGCGCGTGCTGACCGTGCCCGCGCGGGCGTAGTCCAGCGGCCGGAAGTTGTCGAAGTAGTCCGTTACCGTGGCCGGGTCGCGCGAGGTGAAGAGCAGGCCGACGGCGCCCGTCAGCGTCGGCGACAGCTTGTGCAGGTTCGGCGCGGCTTCGTTCTCCGGCGTGTGGCCCAGCGCGACGGCCATGACTTTGGTTTTGCCGAAGAAGAGTCTTTTTTGGGGGGGGGGAAAGTGTTGTTAGTTGAGGTTGAGAAAGGTTTGGGGATATGGTGATAATCGGAACCATCAATAAGGTTAGGAGTTTTGAGGATGGACTTACCGGCTATCAGCGAATTCCGTACGCACATCCTTCAGGTATGTGTTGCGCATGTTATCAACCCCAAACACAAACAGGTGGTCGTATTTCTCAATGCATTCTCGGATGTTGGCGTATAGGCGTCTGGTTTGTTCCTTGTGCGACTTCTTTGCGGTCTTGGACTCGTGCACAACTCTGGCACGCTTGGAGCGGGGCATTGTGTCGGTGTGGTGTGAAGGGAATTATATAACTGAAAAATTCGTATTTTTAGACAGCACCTTCGTGTTCCCCTGGATATGATGCAGAATGGAGGGAGGGAAAAGCAGAAATTAAATATGAACTCGGGTTCTGGAAGTGAAGTGGATCCTCCCATCCAGTGATTTTTTTCTTGTCTTTTGACTTTTTGATAACAGCCGGATTATCGTTGATGCGGGGTCTTATCCGTCCCGACTCCCCGCTAGTCCGCTTGGAGAAACGAGCTGATGGGGAACTGGAAGTCTTTCTCCTCGTTCTGTTCGTCATCGTTCGACTTACTACACTCCATCTTGTCTTTTGCTCTTTTTTGTTCTCCTTTGGAACGAGGCCGTTTGCGAAGACGAATCAGCATGTCGTAGAGTGTATATGCTGCACGATTGATTTGCGGGCTTACGTTCAATTGAATCTCTTTGTCTCTATCCCCGACAATGCTCGACTTCATGGATTACATCCAACTTGCGTTCGCCGAGGCGACCAACTGGAACCGCGACAATTCATATTCGTCGTTGACAGCGACTGCGCAGTGTGTGTCCCACCTTGGAGCCCCTTATTATTCATCATACTCATGATATTCGTCTAGCGCTCCTTGATTTTTCCACGCCGGAACGTCTCCGCGTCCATCTCTCCTCCCTGTCCACGCCGCACTTCGCGACGAGCTACACCCTCGGCACGGTTGGTCTGATCGATGGCTCGGTATCCTACCTCTTCAGCACCGTACCCCTAAACCACGCCGCCAGCCGCAGCGCCTTGATCCCTCTCCGCAAGCTCTCCCCCGGCTACCGACAAGTGCAAGCCCCCGTCGCCCCAATCGAGAACTTCCGCGTCGACTCCATCCTTGACGACCTCAACCACCTTCCCGGTAGCGACGATAATACCAGCAGAAACCATGGCCGCTCCCAAAAAGCCACCCTATTCCACGCCACCCTCCACCTCCCCCCACCGACCACCCTGAATGCCCTCTTCCTCCGCCGCATCTCCCCGACCATGCAGCTCTCCCTGGCCGTCTGCTCCACGCGGGGGCCCCCGTTATCCAAATCCGCCCCGCAGGCCTCCCTCCTCACACAACTCTCCCACAACACCGGCAAGTACAGCAACGAGTACCTCTTCAGCACGGACAACGCCCTGTTCGGGTGGCGCGGCCTCTGGAACTTCGGGCCGGATCCCCGCGCCACTTCCACCGGCACCACCACCACCGCGTCAACACAGCCATTGTCCCTCCTCTCCGCCGGCGCGGAAGCGTACTACTCCCCCGTCTCCTCGTTAATTGGCATGTCCACGGGGTTACGGTTTAGTACCCTCCCCGCTGCAACAGATGTGCCTTCATCATCATCATCATCATCTTCTTCTTCTTCGTCCACCAGCAGCGCGAGCAGCAACAGCAACAGCAACAACCCCATCTCCACCTTCCCCTACACCCTCACTCTAACCCTCACACCACTAACCGGCTCCCTCTCGACGACCTACTCCCTGCGCGCCTCGCCCAACCTGGCCTTCAGCTCGCGCTTTGGCTTCAACGTCTACAGCTGGGAAAGCGAGATGGTCGCCGGCATGGAACTGTGGCGGAAGAGTCGGCGCGCGGCGCCCGCGGATGATCCCGACGATGACGGGCTGGAATGGGCGAGACGGAAGATGCGCGGGGAGAGACACCCCCCGTTACCTTCTTCTCCCGTCCGGAAGACGGATCCCCTGGGACAACCACACCTGGTCAGAAAGACTACCGGGCAAGAAGAAGCGAATGAATCTGTCCTCAAAATTCGCGTGGATCAGTCGTGGAATGTCCGGTTGCTGTGGGAGGGCCGCGTGAAGGAGCTGTTGGTTAGTGCCGGTGTGGGGCTGGGGCCAAGCTCGTTTGCCTCGTCGCTCTCGTCACTCTCGTCGTTGAGTGCGGCCGGGGCGCAGAGTTCCGGGGGTGGTAGTGCCGGGGTTGGGAAGTCTTATTGGCATGGAGTGGGGATTTCGGTTTTGTATTCTTCTTGAGCTGTTTGGCTGTATGAGAAGCTGTACATATGTTGAATTATTGGATTTTACGAAGCGTAGCAGTTATCTGAAGTTGGTTATTCGAGACTAAAGAAAATATAGATTTTTGTGGTATTTGGATGGACATATGTCCTCATCGGTATATGCACTTTCATATAGTAGAGGCGGGGGGAGGTGGTACCCCGCCTTGCATGGAGGAGATGCTTTTCACATTAGCCCCTACCAGCAGGGCCAGCATGTCGGATTAGGGGATTGACGTTGCTGGCACTTTGATCGGGTATCATATCACGTTATCAGACGAGAGTCGTATGTGCTTACAGACGAGCGTTGATAATGTCGACGACTGGTGGCAGTTAGTTTGTGGACCAAGCATCGATTCAGGAGAAAGGAAAACGTACAGGCAGGCTTCAAGCTGGCACCGCCAACGAGGAAACCATCGACATCGGCCTCCTTGGCCAGCTCGCGGCAGTTCTTCTCGCTGACGGAACCACCGTAGATGATTCTGGTGTTCTCGGCAGCGTCGGCGGAGATGGCCTCGGAGAGCCACTTGCGGATGGCAGCGTGGACCTCCTGGGCCTGCTCGGTGGTGGCGACCTTGCCGGTACCGATGGCCCTGTTGGGAGAATGTCAGCATTTTGAAACTCGACTTGGTTACATTAGGTCGGCAACGTACCAGACGGGCTCGTAGGCAATGACAACCTTGGACCACTGCTCCTTGGAGAGCTCCTTGGCGACGGCGTTGAGCTGTCTGGTGACAACATCGATGGTCTTGTTGGCCTCACGCTCCTGTAGATTCCCAACATGTCAGCACATCGTTACCACCACCAAAGTCAAGTACTAGCTTCAATGGGGGGGGTTAGGAGCTACAAAGTGGGGTAGTGATGCCACTACTACCCAGAGGGATCCACACATACCTCAAGAGTCTCACCGATGCAGAAGATGACGCTGATATCACCCTCAATGGCGGCCTTGACCTTGCGGGCAATGAACTAACAAACACCGAAATATTAGCCCAAGCCATTGGAGATTATGATATGTTAAAGGAGAGTATGTCAATTGGTTGACATGGAAAACATACCTCGTCGCTCTCCTTCAGGATGACACGGCGCTCGCTGTGGCCGATGATGGTCCAGTTGATCTTGGCATCCTTGAGCTGCTCGACACTGATCTCACCGGTGAAAGCACCGTTGGGCTTGTCGAAGACGTTCTGGGAGGCAACGCCGATCTTGTCGGAGGCAGCCTCGCGGGCAGTGAGCAGGTAGAGGGAGGGAGGGGAGATGACCACCTCAGAGGACTCGTCGAGCTTGGCCTTGTTAAGGTTGTTGATGATGGAGGTAATGCTCTCGGCAGTACCGTTCCTTTTTTTGGGTATTGAGTGTTAGTTTGGCTCCGATTTGTTTGTTTTTCTATCTGCTGCTGCAAGCTGAGCAGGGATTGGGGGAGAGCGTACATCTTAAAGTTACCACCGACGAAGAATTGGCGAGGCATCTTGGATAATTTGGTTGTGTGAGTGGAAGAGACGAGAAGAGAGACGAGAAGGGGGGTATAGTGAGGGGGTGGATTGAAAGTAGGGATAGTATGAAGGAGAGAAAAAGAAGGAGAAGAGAAGAGGAAGAGAAGAGGAAGACGAGAAGAAATGAATGACGACGAGGAAGACGAGAGAAACACGGAGGGAGGGGGGGGGAGGGAGAAGCACGGCGGGGCTCGGGCCGGTGTGAACGAAAGGGAAGGGTTGGGTTTGAGTGAGTACTGAGTGGGTGTATGGGTGTATGGGAGGGTCGATGGCGGGGCTTATCGATAAAGTCACTTACTTTCTGCCTCTGAGCTGGCAGCCGGAAGCTTTCCTTCTTCCCCCCCTCCTCCCCTCCTTCAATTCTTCTGCTTCTTCCCTGCTGTTTTTCGCCCTACTGCAATTGGGTAACAATCCGCGTGACCTACATGTCTGCTACTTCTCCTCAATTCAAGTGCTTCAATTGATTTCAGGTGTATCCATCAAACTAAATTGGTGTTGAAACTACTACGACTTCTCTGCCAACCTCCAAAACACACACCCGCTGCAATGACGTTATAGCATACCCACACCTCCCCTTCACCCGAGGAAACGCCCGAAAATTAAACGGAGAACTTAACCGGAGAAAAAAAACCCCCGATTCACCATAACAATCAAGAATCACATGAGTACATAATTAAAGGGAGGAACTCAGCGAAGATCGTCCAACGGACGATATCGTCGGGCATAAAACGACCCTGAGTCACGGAGGGACATGCGTCGGGGCAGGTAACATGTACTGTCCCACTCCTCCTCCAGGACCCGCGCTTTGAGGTCTAATAGTCTCTCGCGATGCTCCAGTCGCGCCTCCCGATCGTCCAACATCCGGGTTCGAATATCGTTTCGCATCCGTCCGCCATCATAGCGGCCAATTCTCTCCTCGACCAGTTGCTTCATGTCTAACCCCTCGGGAGGAACAGGCGCCTGGATAATCTTGGGCCGATCTCGGGCCGGCCGTGTAACTTCTCGGCTGAGAATGACCCTAGGGTCGTTGTGATTACTCTTGGCAGGGACCACATCAATGGAACCAGCAGGGTAACCACTGCGACCGGTCCCCTGATTTGAATTGCCTTTCTGAGGCTGTTTGCGATAGTGCGTTCGATAAACCTGCTTGGTGCTGGGGGCTGAATGGCGACGGTAGAGACTGCCTCGCCATGGCTGAGGTTGAGGGTTCTCTTCGGCTTCTGACCCCTCATCCGAACCCTCGGACATTGAACTTTCGTCGTCAAAGTCGAACTCAGACTCCCCATCGCCCACACTACTTGACTCAATGCCTAGGTCTGTCTCTGGCTCTGCGACGGGCATTGCTGCGTTGATATGATCAGGCTTAGGATGCGTAGGGGTATGAGCCCTGGTCTTACCTAGCTCATGCAACTCGGGTGGCTTCAACGGGCTGGGTTGAAGATGGATATTGGGACCTCGGTGAGCCACACCCTGTGTGACAGAAGCTCCGCGAGGATCATTCCACATGGTCGGCATCTGTGGGATGCCCCTTTGCATCTCATGCTCTGTAATAGGGGCCGCAGAATCTTGAATTCCTGCAGAATGTCGATACTGTGGGTGCGCAACAGCTGGCATCCCCTGCTGTATCCAAGCCGCCCATTGCTCCTGGGGGATGGGCCGCTGTACTCCTGTCGGGAATGAATGCTGTGGTGGAGGAGGTGGAGGCTGATGATTTGGCCTGGAAGGCAGTGGCTGCTGGATATCTGCCATGCTTGCTGGCACTGGTCCTTGATGGGTGGCAGGTTCCTGATGCACGGCAGGCCCTTGAGGAACAGCAGACCCTCGATGGACGGCAGGCCTCTGGGGGATGGCAGATCCTGCGTGCCTGGCCAATGGATTGGTTGGAGGAACAGTTTGACTCAACCTGGGTTCCCTGTTGAACAGAGTATGGCTGCTAGGGGCTTGAAAGGTGTCTCCGGTAGGGGTTATTCTCTCCACAGGTTCATTGACAGAAACCTGCGGATATACCAAACTTGCAGCCTTCTTCCGGATGATAACTTCTAACGAGACCGTCTCATAATCACCGCGTCGAGTATTCTTGCCTCTAACAGGTTTCTCGTCCTCCTTCACATAGACGCAAGTCCATTCGAATCGGGGACCGCTGGCCCTAAGCTCGTGAATCAGTTGGTCGACGTGGGCCCGCTTCACCTTGGACAAAGAATGGTATTGCTCGGCCACGGATAGCTTCTTGGTCCGGTTGACCACCATGTTCATCAAGTCTGATTGGCTAAGGTGCATCTTCGCTCTCTCAACTTGACTCCAGGTGCTCTTCTTCCCGGGGGTGGGGGTGGCCTTGAAGAAGGTATACCCCAAGTAGAAGAGGGGAGCGGCAGCATCAACGTCATTCATGGCAGCTATGCCTCCTGGCTTCTGTGTGTTCTTGTTGGAAGCCCTCTCGGTCTGTACATGGAGCCGGTTCATGGAGTTGATCAAGTATTCTGGACTCGCTTGATCTTGGGGGTTGATTGATACTATACGAGGGTGCTCGTTTAACTGAACGGGAGGGTGATGAATAGGAGGGACCGGGGGGACTGGAGGGACAGGCGGAACCCGGTTGTCTGAGTTGATTTTCGCCATACTGTAGGAGGCGGGTTCGTCTGGAGTGGATGGATGGGATCACAGTGAGTGAAGAGTGAGCTGGAGGATGAAGAAAGCAATAGTCACAGCATCACAGGGATGACAAGAGATAACTAGGTTCTGAATGACAATATATGCTGATAACTTCAGCTGGAAATGTTTTGGAGGGGGGAGGCGGGGGGCTATCAAGCACACATGCGGGCGTCATATATACTGAGGAAAGAAGTCCGTAAAGCGGACTGGAGGCAGTCTCCGGCACTCCAACGTCCGACAAACAGGCTGTAAGAATGTTTCAGACCGGGCAGATGCTCGTCGCGTTCTGCTTTATCATTAGAGAGAATTCCCGAACCTCACGGTTTTCTCAAAAAAAAAAAAAAAAAAAAATCCCCCGAGAGTAATTACAGGTAATTCGTGATTTGCTTTTACTAAAAACTGTCTGACTGATTGTCTCTCTGATCATCCAACCAAGCATCCATCCATCTGAGGGCAGCGTGCCTGTGACATTTGCAGGGCGCAAAAAAAAAAAGAGCCCGGGCAACAATGAAGAGTCAGGCTGAATTGGATTCGATGATGGATGCCAGTAATTTCCCTCCCGCCTCTTTTGTATTCCGTGGTTTCTCTCCTTTTTGTCGCCTTCGTCATTTCCGAAGACCACAGCCTCGTATCACTGTTCTTACGCCTCAGCCGCAATGAGATCTGAGATTGGGGCTATGCAGGGGATGAGAAACACCAACAGCCAGCTATGTCAGATGCCAAAAGTGAAGTTGGATTTACAATGCTTAATAACTACTAGATACAGTAACTACAGTACTAGGTATTACCGCGTGGGTTCGAGAGAAAATCCTCAGCTTCACCCCTTCACCCCCTTTGGCTGCAGAGTGGCTGAATTTCAGTCCAGGCAACAGAAAGCTCTTCCAAATGTAGTCTGCCTACCTTGCCTTAGTAGCCACTCAGCGATCAGTTCCAACACTCCCATCCAACGAAGGTGATTGCCGATTGGGTGGTGGGAGAACTTGCACGTTCAGGATCATGCAGCCAAGCCACTGTGGCGCTTAAAGCGCCCTGCTTCCTGCTGCAAAACTGCAAAGCTGCAAAGCTGCAAAACAATTACATCCATACTTACAAGCCATCCTTCAACCCTCGAAGGACATTGGACAAGAGCACATGGATCTGTACTTCACCACAGGCCAGGTGGATCTCTTATCGCATTGCATATGTATGGAAGATGCCATAGACGCGGCACAACATACTTCAGTACTTCACTCACTTCCGTCACTTCCGCTGCACACAGCAAAGAGAGAAGTGACCGCTGTTACCCTTTGCTGGGCTGCTCAGGTCTGCAAGCATCCGCACTGCAATCGAAGGCTTTCCTATTCTTAGAAAACACCGTCTTCGGACATAGGAGAAGACCTTGACCGCGCTGGATGGTGGTTGCGACCCTTCCACCATTATACCAGACGTGCCCAATCCATCAACTCTCAGCAGCATTACCCAGGCGACAGCCACGGGAGAACGCGCAAAGCCTCTTTGTATATCGACATGCTGATAGGCCAGTCGAGGTGTGACTCACCTCCTCACTCCTGCAGGTGTAGACACTACCAGGTTCAGGTTCGAGCGATGTGAGCCCAGCTGAAGGGCCTGCCATCATCATTGGTCTCTTTGTCTCGCATTGTTCCTACGTTAGCCTTTGGGTTGATGGCAGGGCTACATACTAACTATCAGACTTTATTGCATTTGCATGCTCTCTACACAGTAGAGTCAGAGTTCATTGAAGATGAAACGCAAGAATGCGATAGCATAGCCAAGGACGAGTGAAGACATGGGGATTGTTGCTTTTTTAGGTATGTTAATATTCGTTCTTTGTGGTCTTTGTGACTTGACACTCATCAACTCTTTATCGATTCTAGTAAAAGCTCTGGCTTCTTTGTTGAGCCACCGGCTTCATGTCTTGTTCCTGATTTGTGTCGAGCCAGCCGACACAATGGACTGTTCCCGCAATGGCTTTCATACACTGACCTCCAGCTTTTTGATTCCCGCCGTACTATCAACACCACTAGAATGAGCCATTGTTCACTGAATCTCTCCAGCATCAACTGCTTTCTTCCTGATAGTCCTTTCAATCTCATCCAGGAGGACTAAGAGACCTCATTTAAAATGGAGCCCCCCCATGGCTTCCTGGGCCATGAGGGGTATCCAGACAAAACGCTAGACTATTCGGTCCTTGCTCAACCGAACCACGAACTCATCTAAACCACTACCGAGAGTCACTATGAGTTCTTTTCCAGTAAAGAGATGGGGCTATGATTTTCGACACCTTATTGACCTGATCACCCATGACAGAAAGCACGATCCTAAGTACTTCAACAGTTACCGGCACATTCGAAAATACGATTCAGAACTCGCTGCTGTCATTCGTGAGCTCCTGGAGCCGGACACTAAACTTGCGAATGATTTCCCAAACCTTCATCAAGTTCTCTCCCATCGCTATAATGCAGCCTTGGCTGGCCGGGAAACAGAAGTATCCCGATGCCGGCACGTTGAGACGGATAGCGGCGAGAGATACGATAGCCACCAGTACCAGACTCGGCTTCTACAGCACCCCGAACTTTATGTAGACAGGGATGAGGAGGCTAAGAAGATATATCTCAGATGGAAGTCTCTATGCAAAATACTGAAGAAACAGCACTTCGTTATCCGGGGCATCCTCGGCAGTGGAAGTATGTCCTCCCCATTTGGCACTGTCTTGCAAATTCTCTCGGCTCACTGATGACCCTTTTCTTCACTAGGTTACGGGATTGTCCTACTTGCCCATAAAAGTAAGCTGTCCCCGAAAATCTTATGCGATTGTATGGAGCGACTTTTTACTAATGCTTCTCTTTCAGGAGACGATGAAGGTCGCTTGTACGCTATTAAGATGGAGAACCTGGTTACAATCGCCACAACAGTGAATTATCACGAGAAATACAGGGTTGTCGGCGCGATTGGACCCTCACCGGTAATGGCGCCCTTGTTCTTACAAGACGATGAACTTCACTACATCCCAATTGAGGCGTACATTCTGCTTCTTGCCAACGAGTGTGGCCGGTTCCCGACCCTTGACTCGGTCTACTCCCACAAGTTATACCAGGCCATCGTGATGTCCGCCCACCTCGATGAGGCCGTTGCCGAAGCTTCTTATATCCCCAAAAACCCTGAATATAACGAATTGCTCGTGCGGAGATTCGGGGCTTGCATCGCCAGTCAACTCACAATGTACAAGGAATCGTTACTGGAGGAGCACATGGTCTGCAAGGTTGCATCTCAACTTCTGGAAGGCCTCGCCTATTTGCGCGACATGCATATCTGCCACGACGATCTCAAGACCGATAATTTCATCATAGAAGAAGACTTGAACGTACGTTTTTCTCCCCCGTCATCCTTGCCCTCTCACCATGGGTTCCCCTGTGCGCGACTCTCATGCTCTCTCCTTTTGCTTCTTCCCATATGAACGACTGCTCACTCGTGAAATCCGCATACAAACAGACCATCATCATAGACATCGGACTCTACACATTTGCCCTCACCGATAACGACTATCTCAAGGAAGAATTCACCTACGTACCCGCGTACGAAGGCGGCCTCACGCCGGAATTGACCCTCGAGCTCTTCAGGGCTGCCTATATAGGGGAAGCGAACGATCATTGGCAGTTCCAGATTGTACTCCCCCACGACCAGCGGATGACCGGCCTGTGGGTGCTGGCCTCGAACATCTACGAGCTGCTGCACGGATTCGCACCCTGGGAGGACCCCAAGTGGGACCGCCACATCTGCTATGTGCAGGATTGGCGGCAACCCGGGGTTGACAAGACAATCTATGGCGATCGAAAGAAAGCGCTCAAGGCACGGCGGGAAAGGGTCATCAACAAGGAACTGCCGGTCTCGGAGATGCTCTCGCAGGACTGCGCCGACGCCATGATGATGATGTTCGCCAAGGACCCCAGGGACCGACCCACGCTGCCGGAGGTGGAGTCCTGTGTGTGGTTTGGGCAGTGGAAATACGAGTCTGACGATCCCGAAAGGTTCAAGCGGCCGGGCAACAATCGGGAAGTCAGGCAGCATGTGATGGAGGAAGGACAGCAGGCTCAGCAGGCGCAACTCCAGGCACAGCAGCAGGCACAACTCCAGGCACAGCAGCAAGCTCAATTCCAGGCACAGCAGCAGGCACAAAACCTAATACAGATAGCGGCAGCAGTCAACCAGCTTATCGCAGACAATGACGGGGACCCAATGCAAGAATAGGCGTGGATCGCTCTACTGTATTTGTTTATTCTTTCCCCTTCTTCCTTTTCCTCGAAAGCCCTTGCTTGATGCTATGTGGGTTTTCTTATTTCTCGACAAAGCATGGATTTCTCCGGGGTTGACGGAATGTTCCAATATCGGTTTGTGTAATAGTTGTTGAGCCCATTGCATCGGTGTGTTGGGATGTACCTGGAGTATAGAGGCGACACTAAGTCATGAGAGACGACAGAAAAGTATAGATTTATAGACGTACAAGGCTAAGCCTTGGAAGAATGATAGATGGATGCATTATGCCCGATCCCGAAAACCCCTAGCCACGAATGTAATAACAGCGCAAGAAACAAGGCAGGAAACAAGATTGAACACACACAAAAAAAAAAGAAAGAAATCACAGCAGTAGTCGACTCGTGTCAGTCATATCATCAGCGACGAAGACTATCCAGTCTTGCCTGTAAGTCATCATCACTTGCGTTTCCGGCGGCCCCAATCGGCTGCGCGACTCTTGCCTCGCCCACGGCCGTCTTTTGTATATCCGTCGGCGTCTCACCCAGCTGGAAAACAACCCAAAGAGGAAACAGTTAGTATGGGTATACGGAGACCACCACAACACACATATCCTCAAGGGAGGGAATAGAGGGACATCACGCACCGCCTGGCTCAGGTCCACGCCAATCTCATCCAGCACCTCCTTGACGATATCCTCGCTGTCCTCCTCCTCGCCCTCCATGCCCGTCGCCTCGTCGATCGCATCGTCCATCATCTCCTGCCGTTGGTCCATGATATCGTTCTCACGCTCGAACTCCATCGCGATCCGCTGCAGCGCCGGCAGGTTCATTTGCCGGTTCATGCTGCCCAGCAGCATTGTCGCCCCCTTCATCGACTGCATCATCTGCTCGTTACTCCGTACCGTCTGGATTTTGGGCGGGGCTGCGTTAGCTGACTGCCGATAACCAATCCATGCCCCCAACGTAGAGACTATACCTGAATCCGCAACGAGATCGCCTGCAACTGCGTGCGCATTTGATAGAATTTCTGGATGTACCTGTTCTCCATCCTATTAGACTAATCCCGGTCCGAATATCGCGGCTCGCAAATCGCACATCACACATCGCAACAAAGTACGGATGAAGAGTGTGTATTTGCATGTTGTGTGTGTGTGTGTGTGAGGACCGAGCATACCTCCGCGTGCGCACCAAGTCCTTGGCCTGGATCTTACAAGCCCCGATCTGCCCATTCTTGGCGCTCTTCTTGATGTCCTGGACGAGTTTCTTCTCCTGGTTCTCGAGCTTCACGCGCTCGCGGTCGAGTTCTCGTTGGGTGCGGTCGAGGGCCCGTTGGTGTTTGCGGAGGCGCTCGGCGGGCGTCATGCGCTTGCCGAAGGCCCATTCGACGATCTGTGATGGAGGTTTGATTTCAGTGTTTGTGAGTGGGGATTGGGGGGTGGAGGGGATTGGGGGAGGAAGGGGAGGTGGGGTGATTTTGCGACGCTGATGTGATTGGAAGGGTTTGGGGAGGGTACTTACGTTCATGGTGCTGGGGTTGTAAGGGGTATCGGGATCACACCACGATTAAGAAAGAGGGAGGAGGGAGGGAGGGAGGGAGGATTATCGGACGATTGGGGATTGTGGTGGTGTTGTTGTTGTTGATAAGTAAGGTAGTAAGGTAAAGCAAGCCGCAGAGGCGGAGAGAGTGAGTGAGCGAGCCTGTGAGGGACGACCAACCGCAAGTGACATCAAGGGCAAGCCAGCCGTAGGCTGTAGTTAGTGTACTGTACTGCTGATACTGGAGTTACTCTTATATAAGAGCTGGCAATGGTATGCTTAATACAATTCCGATACCAAAGATACCCACCCACAGTCACATGCAGGCCCCGACACTGAATCCTCCCCCCACTAAACCCTTTTCAGCCAGCAATGAACGAATTATTTTCCCTCTTTGCTCTTTGCCTCCCGCGCCGAATTTCCATGATTTGCCGAGTGCTTCTCATTGCTTGCTTGCTTGCTGCTCCTGCTGCTGCTCCTCAGGCTGCTGCTGCTGCTGTTTCTTTGGTGCATGCATTAATTACTCATATTATTCCATGTTCCATTCCTGATCCATCCTTCCATCCTTCCATCACTAAGCCAAATCTAATCTCCCTCGCCCCCCCGTGCACGGCACCTGCACCCACTCCCACTCCTTCCGTCCCTCCGCGACTTTTTTGTCCTTCCTTTCAACTCTTCCAGCACTGGGTTACGCCCACATGCAAACAACCATTCTTTCGCCATGAGTCAGGAGTATTTCCCCGGCCAAGGCGCCTCTTCTTCCTCTTCTTCCGCCGGATCCTCCTCCAGCCAGCAGCAACCGGCGCCCGAGGACTCCTCCGCCATGAGCAGTACCCCCTCGTCCTTCCCGAGACCCCCGCCCGCGTATATGACCGTCGGAAATGGTTCGACCTCCGAGAGCGCAACGGCCTTGATGGCCTCGCTGCATGAGGATTCCGGGTACGGTGGCAGCATTCCCAGTGGGAGCGTGGTCGATGGTGATGCTGGAGCTGCGGTTGGTGGCGGATGGCGAGCGGATCTGATGGTCGATAGCCCGACTCCCATGCATGCGCCCTCCCATCTTGGAGCATGGAACCCAGCAGGTGCGTTTCTTTTTGATGCTTTTTTCTCTTGGAGGAAAATCCACTTTTTAGCAAGAGTGTTTCAACTGACGCGTCGGAATCTATAGCTGAGCACGAGCGACAGATCGTCGCGAGCCATGTGCACCAATTACTCTAGTACGTGCGCCCTATTTCGTCTTGCTGTTCATAGCTACACGCTTCGGTCTGCTTTGATATCTCTCGGAAATATGCTAAGACTTGGGGTTATAGTAACTCAAACCGGACCAAGCTCGGACGCGCTATTACGCGCACTATCGATACGTTGAAGGAACTCCAGGACATGAACCGGCAATGGCCTGCCCATTATCCCTCCGTCCAGAATGACCTCGAGTCCCCCGACGACAAACCCACCCTGCACAAGGCCCAGTCCTTCTTCGGAAATGACGCCCTGGATTCGATGCCCCGTCCCGGCCAGATGCGGCGCGCCGCTACGATGACCGCCGGCGAGGATCTGGCGGAGTCGAGTGCCGCGGCGCAGCGTCGCGTCCCCACGGAGCCCCGGCTGATGAGCCCGCAGATCGCGCAGGAGTTTTCGATTCTCAAACTCGACCTGAAGCTGGGAGCCCTGTCGCAGGCCGAGTTGGTTCACTCCTTGGAGAAGGCATCGATTGCGTCGCTGTTGGATGGAAAGATCAGCCAGAGCGTCAAGCATCTGCTCTCGTTGCGGGATCGAATTGAGGATACTTCCAGCAAGGTTCTGATTACCGGTGATCTAAATGCCGGAAAGTCGACTTTCTGTAATGCACTGTTGCGCCGCAAGGTTCTGCCCGAGGATCAGCAGCCATGCACCAGCATCTTCTGCGAGGTTCTTGATGCACGTGAGAATAGCGGGTTGGAGGAGGTGCATGCCGTCCACAAGGATGTCCCCTACAATCGCAACGACGAGAGCACCTACGACGTCTATGGGTTGCATGAGCTGGAGGATATCGTCATCGACAACTCAAAGTACATGCAGTGCAAGGTCTATGTGAAGGATGTGCGGACGATCGATGAGTCTTTGCTCAACAACGGGGTCGTGGATATCGCGCTGATCGATGCTCCTGGTCTGAACTCGGATTCCTTGAAGACGACGGCGGTTTTTGCCCGACAGGAGGAGATCGATGTGGTTGTGTTCGTGGTTTCTGCTGCTAATCACTTTACTCTTTCTGCGAAGGAGTTCATTCTCAATGCTGCTCACGAGAAGGCTTATATGTTCATTGTCGTCAACGGTTTCGATCAGATTCGCGACAAGCAGCGGTGTGAGCGGATGATTCTGGACCAGATCGGCAAGCTCAGCCCTCGCACCTACAAGGAGGCAGCCGAGCTGGTTCACTTCGTCTCCAGTAACGCCATTCCCGTGGCACCTCCGGTCTCCGTTTCAAGTTCCGGCGGTGGTGGCGACGATGGCTCCGACGATGATGAGCCCGAGGATAAAGGAAAGGGCAAGGACAAGGGCAAGCAGCGGCAGAAGATTCAGGACTTTGAGAACCTTGAAGGTTCTCTTCGCCGGTTCGTTCTGGAGAAGCGCTCTCGCTCGAAGCTGGCGCCTGCTCGGACATATCTTCTGAACTTGCTCGCGGATCTGAACTCCCTGGCTGGAGTCAATCGTGATGTAGCTCAGGCTGAACTCAAGCGTGTCACGGACGAGCTGGCCGAGCTGGAACCTGCTTACGAAGAAGGCAAGAAGAAGAAAGTGGAACTCAGCGATCAGGTCGAGAAGTACATTGACGAGTCGTGCGATGACGTCTACAACCACACCCGGTCTAGCTTGGGTGAAACCATTGCTCATGTCTCCGAAGCCGACTTGGGTGTTGAGTACCCCGGTCTGTTCTCCGCGTTCCAGTACGCTGAGGACTTGAAATTGGCTATGCTGGATCAGATCGCCGCATCTGTAGCGGACTGCGAGGACTATGCGCGGGACAAGACGGTCAAGGGTGTTGGTTTCATTCAGAACATCGGTCTTTTGCACGTCGGAGAAGACAAGTTTGCGCCTTTGAACTTCCGCGCGGACATGATGTTCCGTCGTGGTCGTCGTCACACGCTTGCCAGACAGGTCGATACCGAAGTAGAGATTTGGGATTTCTTCGATATCTCCGGAATTTGGGAGCGGCAAGAGAAGATGGCCGGGACGGGAATGGCGATGACTGCGGTGACTGTCCTCGGAGGCAGAGCCTTTGGTGGCATCGGCTGGGTTGACAGCATGTTCAGTGCTGTTCGGTTCTTGGGACCGAACAATGTGCGCCGGCTTTTCCTGCCTGGTGTTTTGGCAGTCGGTACGTTTTTTTGCTTTTCTCTTGTTTGTGTGAATTTGACTGACAGAAAATTTAGCTGCTTTGACCGCTGCTTGGATGGTTTCTACGATCCCTACTACCCTTCCCCC